ACTATTTTCCAGTTTTCCCTGCAGTTTTTGTCAAATGATGAATTTTGTCAAATAATCCAATAGCTTGGATCTTTGGGTTTACCATATACTAGATTACTATGGTCATTTACTATAATGTAATTTGTACCTAATCTATTCCACTGATCCACTACTCTGTTTCTTAACCAATTCCAGATTGTTTAGATAGTTACTACTTTATAATATAATTTGAGATCTGGTACAGGTAGACCACCTTGTTTCACATTTTTTATTGATTCCCTTGATATCACTGAGCTTTTGTTCTTCCAGATGAATTATTATTTTTTCTAGTTCTATAAAATAATTTTTGATTAAGAGTTTGATTGGCATGTCACTGAATAAACAGATCAGGATTTCTTAATGTCAAGGTAAATGGCAAATTGTTGCAGGAGGCGGGGTTTGGGAGGCAGAGGATAAAGGAAGAAAAGAGCATGAAGTTGAAGGAAATGGGTCCTATTTTTTTTTGTTAATTGGGGTTAAATGACTTGCCCAAGGTCATACAGCTAGCAAGTGTCAAGTATTTGAGACTGGATTTGAACTCAAGTTCTCCTGACTCCAAGGCTGGAGCTCTATTTGCTGCACCACCTAGCTGCCCCTTGGGTCCCATTTTCAATGGATGTCATCTATTACGATTTTTTGTTGTCTTCTTTAGAGCCAGCGGCCCAGAAAAGAAAGAGACTTTCACTACTTGCAAGTTTTCCAAGCCAGAACACCTGTCCAATCAAAAACAACTCCCAGAAGGTGAACTTAGTCTAAACCTGGGAATCTATTCCCTCCTTGGCTCCCCAGAGACCTGGGGCCTTGCTTGGAAGCAAGTGGGAGGAGTCCAATTACTGCTTCACCTGTCCCTTTTTGTGGTTCTGTTGTTCTCTGCAGGGAACCTTTCCCCTACTCCTGCAGAACTCTTCTCCTCTCACCCCCTTGAATGGACCAGACTGTTCTATCTTTGAAGACTCTCTACATTCCTTTGCAATTGGAAGACAGACCCGGAATACCACATGGGCACTTGGCATTCCCCTTACACAATCCCCTAAACACAATCTCCTCCCACATCCCACCTCTTACATAGAATTCCCTCTATTCTGTGACTGTCTATGGGTGGGCAATTGGAAGAAGGAATAAAGATGCAGCTCTTGTGATAGGCTTGGTGTTAGCTTTTCCCCTGGTCTCTCACAAGCTAATCAAAATGTAGAAAACCTCCACATCCCCCAGCTCTAGCCAGATCAACAAACCCAGTTTCTTCCTCATTCTCTATAGTGGCAACCCTCTCGCTACATGAAAAGCGCCGTAAACCTAACACCCTGATATTACATGGAGTCAAGTAGTCAGCCTGGTGAATACCCCTACAAGTTACATATAAGGTGACCATTTAGCTTTATACCACAAGACCATCCAGGGGCACACTACCAGTTCTTTGGTTCTGTTCATATATCACAGAAAGATCAGTGTTTTCAGAGATCTCAAAACACTTTATTTGTATATAACATCCCCTGTACCTAAACTCTCTTAAATTTTTCCAGAGCCAGGAAGTCAATTTTTAATTGGATTCTAGTCTCAACAGTTAGCAAAAAAGCATTTATATTGGTACTTTGCTATGCCAGGAACTGTGGTATAGTCTAGGATAGTCTGGGGATAAAGAGAAAGGCAAAAACAGTCCCTGCCATAAAAAAAAATACATCTAAATGGGAGAAACACATGTAAAGAATTACATGCATACAAGATATATACAGAGTGGAAGAAAGGAGGTCATCTCAGAAGAGGGGCATTAGCAGACGGGGGTGAGGGATGGGGAAGGGCCTCTGGAAGGAAGCCAGGAGACACAGATGAGGATGGAGAAAGCAAAAAGGCCTAGGGTGGTCTTGTGGGAGGAACTGCAAGAAAGTCAGTGCTTCTGGATCACAGTGTATGGACAGGACTAAAGTATAAAGAAGGCTGGACAAACAGAAAGGGTTACGAAGGTTAGGAAGTCATGGACAGACAGGTTATGAAGGTCTATGGGAAAGGCAATGGTGAGGGACCAGTAATCAGAACAGAGGCAGCAAAGCACTGTCCTCTGGGAATAGGAAGAAGGTAAAATCACCAAGAGAAACTGCCAGTGCCTGGTCAGTGTCAGGAGTTTGCTGATTGTCTTCTTATTAGACCCTTTTTTTTTTAGCCATCATCAATGGCCAGCCAGTCCTTTAGGATCTTGGCCTGAGAGTTAAAAGGGACCTTAAGATGACCTGGTGGGCCAACCCTTTCATTTGACAGATGAGGAAACCAAGGCCCAGAGAGGTAGTGACTTGTCCAAGGTCACCCAGGTGGTAAGTGGCAGAGCCAGGATTCAAACTCAGGACCTCTAAAGATTCAGCATGCTTTGTAGCATATAAACACTTAATTTTCAAGACCTAGCTCTTGTCTCACTTTGGTTTTTAATTCACCTCTGAAGTGAAGCAGGCTCGCTCTCCTCCCCAGGGGCCCTGCTGGAGAAAGTGCCGTGAGTGCTCCCCGGCTTTACACCCTGCTGGGCCTAATCACTATTGCTCCTGCAGTAACAGCAGGAGTGTTTGTTGGGGTTTTAAAATTATTATTATTTTCTGATTGAAAAGCAAGTCTCCATAACTCCCCAACAGCAAGAATGACATTGTAAAACTGTTCTGGGCTCCTGCCTCTATTTGAGGTTCAGTGTGGCATGGAAAGTTTTCTACACCCTGGAACAGGAGCTGTAAGATTTCTTTTCCACAATGGCATCAGAAGGGAAAAAAATCTCATTAAAAGGATGTTAAAAGGATTTTTTAATTAAGAGAAGCATGCTGATGATGGGGTGTCAGCTTGAGGACACAGAAGCAGCAAGAAAGAGAAAAAGAGAAAGGGACAGAGAGGAGAAGATAGGAGAAAAAGGGATTTCAGTGCTGGATTTTTAATCATTGAGTTTCTTGCATCTACAGCTTCTAATGCCAGTGGACTCCATCACCCAGTCCTGCACACAGGGGCTACAGGCCTTTTTGGTAGTAAAACGGTAATTTAGCAACCTCTCTAGCTCCAAAAGCCATCAGACTAGGCTAAGCAATACCCATGGGGATCACTGATACATCCAAATAACAGCAGTTATAAAGGTAAAAATGGAGACAAAATGGTTACAGTGAGAGAGGAAAACAAGAATCCTAGGACCACTAATCCAGAGATAGAAGAGGCTTAGAGGAGGAATTAATAACCAGACGGGGTGTGTGTGTGATTCCATACACTCTGTCTCAAAGTAGCATACGCCATGTCTTTCACTATGAACCAAAAAATGGAGGGGAGAGAATGTCTGCTGAGACACACAGACCAGCCATGGAGAAACTCACGAAGTGAAACATCATGAACCCACAAGCCGGCTGAAGATAACCCTGACAATTCTTACTGTAATGACCCCTTACTGTAAAGAAAATTACATCCTGTGAGTTGTGTGGACCCTCCTAGGCACCCAAGCTGAAATAATGGCCAATATGTTGCAAGTAGATTTGAAACACTCCAATTTTCCTATATTTCCAGGGCTGCCCTTGAGATTTGGTCCCTGGCCCCCAGAGTTTGAATTTTTCCACCCCTTCTCCATGTTGCCAAGGTCATTTTAACATCCTTACTGGCTTCTGACACCATACTGTTAGGTCTGAAATGATTCTGAAAGCATGGTGTACAACACTGGACCGGCCTCTCCCAAGTCTCTATTCTCAGAACATTAATGGGTCCCTGTTGCCCACTGCCCCCCAGCTCTTCCCCTTCTCCTCACCCTCAGAAATAGAGAAAAGCTGCCTCAGCTAAAGGTGACTTAAGGGTCATTCTGAAAAGTTACACTGAAATACACTATGGAGGGACCCAAGGGAAGTTCCCCAAAGACAGATACAACCATTTAGGATTACACATTCTCACATACAGAATGTTGAGGGAGGGGAGCTGGGGAAATGCTCAAAAATGGGAACTAAAAGGATCAAAGTCTCTTTCAGTCCTACAAAACCTAAGAAATCCTGCTTTTCTCCTTAGAATGAACCTCTAAAAAACAGTAATAGCATTTACACAGAAATTAAAGATTTCCAAAGCACCTTCCGTGTATTACATCACTTAATCCTCATAATAACCTCAGGAGGAAGCTGCTATTATCATCTCTATTTTGCAGAGGAAGGACATGAAGCAGACGGGTTCAGTGACTTGCCCAAGGTCAGTTCTGTCTAAGGCCAAGATTCCAACTCCAATATTCCCAACTCCAATCTGGTGTTTTGTCTACTACCTTGTCTAGCTGCCTGAGACAACATAAGGATAACTTCTTCAGCAGATATATTTTATTAACATAATATGAAAGGTTGCCGTAAAGTAATGCACGAACGGACAAGCTGGTTTGTCCTCTAGGACACGTTGCAGACTGATTCCTAGTCGGCTGCTACTACCTACCCTAAGGCCTCATTTCCTTTTCTTATTTCTCCATTTTTAGCCCACCCACAGAAAGCTCTGGCTTGGAAACTGTTTTTCCCAGCTAACTGCTTTGACATGGTTAAACACTGAGATAGAAGAATAATTATAAATAGTTCAATTGTAATTGTATCATTTAACTTTTATCTTTACTTTCTACATATGTACCATGTTAGCTTGAAAATAAAATTAGAGCTGTTCATTGGTTTGCCCAGGATTTGACACTGGAGAGGAGGAGCAGAGCAGGAGTTCCACTTCTCCCACCCCAGTCTGATCTGGCCATTAGACGGGTCAATAAAACAAGCCGTGGGAGGTAGGTGTAGAAATATTGCTCCATCACAGAGAAAGAGAGAGTCATTCACTCATTCAATAAACACTTAATGGACTGCTGTGTGCAAAACACTATGCTAGGCACTGGCAAAGATACAAATTTTAATTTTAGGAAACGTTTGAAATCAGCTGACTTGTTCAAGTCACTTAATTGCTGAGTCAAGTAGAATCCTGCGTAGATAAGAAATGCAGAAAGTTCAGGGTCAATGTAGACAAGCAATGCAGAAAGCTCTGTTTCCTCAGCAGAAAATATATTTTTTTTAAAAATAGACAATGTATTTATGCGAGTATATATACATGTTACATAACCAAACTCCCTTCTTCACTCACTCAGGTTAAAGGTTGTCAACACTCATTTTCAGCACCTTTTAGAGCATAAACACAACCATCTCCTACGTTAAGGATAATTATATCCAGCAAAGGTAGCTATAAATTAAACTTCCCAAAAATGAACCCAACTTCCCCACTGACATTATAAAATAAAAACATATTAGCACAGAAAATGTTCCCTGACAGATTGAGGTGAAAACTCGGAGCTTGTAAGAGGTGAAGATGGAGGCTAAGTCTGAAGTATTTTGGTTACCAGGAATGTTTCTAGGGCATTTTCCAATATTTGTAGCACTTTTTAAACTCATTATCACATTATCTCTTTCCCCTGCCCCAGACTATTAGGAATTTCTTGCATACCTCAAGATTCTGAAGACACAGTTCTCAAAACTTTGCTCCCTTCCTTCCCCTTTTGTGTGACTACTTACTATAATTTTAAGGGCCACATACATCTATGATTTGGGACAATCCATGGTGGCAAGTTTGTGTCTCATGTGCTCTCCCAATAGATACTGAGAAGTTGTGGCATATAGTTTATAACCGCATCTCAAAAAGATGCATGTGAAGAGTGTTGGGAAAGGCAGCACTTCTCAATGGGCGGGATAAGCCTACTGGGCCACTGCGCTCACCACTTTCCATCCCTTCTGACTCTTATCTGGCTAGCTCTACATATTCAGCATACAAAGGTTGTGCAATCAGACACAAGGATATCATGATGGTTCATGAATAGCATGATGATCTATTATTTTAAAAACACCAAAAGTTTTTCCTTGATACAGGATGCTTATCAAAATAGACACAGTAAAAGTTGTCATGAGAAGGAATTTTTTTACAATTGTTTCCACTCAAGAAACAAGAATAAATATGGAACAATGAGGTACAGCTCCACAGAACAATCTGGATATAAATACAAAATGGTTATCACATCTTTCTGACATTTCTCTCTGTGGCTATCAGACGTCAGGTCCAGAGGTGTCCAGTTCAGGGCTAAGAAGGTGCCCCCTTTGGCAGTCCATCATCTCTTTCCTACAATGAAAAACACCAGACTACCAGACAGGATGTCCTGCAGTGTAGCAAAGGAGGCAGGCACTTATGCCATTTGCTGCTATGGTTAAGTGTCAAACCATTTGCTCTTCTTTCCGAAAGGAGCTCCTTTTGTGGGTCCCAGTATTTTCTGCTTGTACTGTTCGACCAGCTGGTTGAATCGAATTTCTGACTTATTTCCCTTAGCCTTTTTCTTTGGCACCTACAGGAAAAAGGGAAAGAGGCAAAAAGGAATTGATGTGAATCTCACTTTTATTTAGCCATCCAAAGGATGCAGTGTTCACCAATAAGTTTTCCCAAGCTAAACAGGATTCCTCAAAGAGAAGACCTCAAAAAGAACTCTATCATCTCTCTACCACTTCTGAGAAAAAGAGGATTTTTGTGAGTGCCCCACACCTACCAGCAGCCAACCTAAACCTGAGGGAGAAGGCAGATGTGTGTGTCTGGGGCTCGGAGCCACAGGTCAGACTGTTACTTCATCAGCTCAGCAATGTCAGGCCAGAGCCTGGCCATGACCTGAAGGAAAGACCCTTCCCAAGAATCTGTAGAGAGGGGAGGCTGTTAATGAGCTCGGGAGGAGCACAGTGACATTGGAACCAACACCAATCCTGGGCCCTCTCGCAGCTCTCCCTGCAACACCTTCCCCCAGCACACCTAGAAAGGACCTTCCTTGCTGGATGGAGGACTCGGGAAAGATGGCTACAGCCCAGTCCCAAGCCCTGCTTTTCTCTAAGATAACAGGGATAAGAATGTGCCTGCAGGAGGCAGGGCCACCACACTGTCCTCACCTGCAAAGACCTGGAGCGCTGCTTCTCCTGCTTCTGATGTCTCATCTGGACCTTTGGCTTTTTGGGTGCAGGAGGTTTAGCCTTGCCTTTGTCCCGCATTCTGAAATCAGAGGGTCAAGCATTCACTCTGGGTCACCTCTCAGGGGCCACAGGAATCCAGCAACCAAAAAGACAGCCTCAGGAGCAGCTAGGTGGTGCAGTGGATAGAGCACCAGCCCTGGAGTCAGGAGGACCCGAGTTCAAATCCGGCCTCAGACACATGATACTCACTAACTCTATCTTACAGCACAACAGGCTAAACAATGCACTATTACAAGCACTCTCTAGGCTCATAGTAGGTAGACCTAATTTTTATGTATTTATTTTGTGAGGCAATCAGGGTTAAGTGACTCGCCCAGGGTCACACTCTAGTGTCAAATGTCTGAGGCTCAGATCCTCCTGACTCTGGGACTGGTAGAGCTAATTTTTAAAGTGACACTACAGCAGGGCATTTTGATTCCCAATCTTTGTATCCTTGTTCAACAAACTAACCCAAATGGCTTCACATTTCAGCCAAACTTCAGAAATTTCATTTATCAGTTCATACGTGTTCATTCATTTGACAAATACTTACTTAGCACCTACTGTACATGGATATGACACAGCACTGTATGGTATCCACAGTATTATGTATTACAGAAAACATACTTAAAATTATCTTCAAATGTCCTTCACTAACTGAAGAGAAAATCCAATTAGACAAATCTCAGCAAATACTAAGGCCCCACATAGAAAGTAAGAGGTTTGTCGATAATGTTCTATGGGGCTTCTCTACACCGCCATAAACCAGACAGGAAATATATGAAGCCCTGCTTTCAAAGGATCCCCAAATCAAAGGTCACATGCCTACATGTGCCTCCTCCTAACAAAGTCTGACAATGGCATCTGTACTACTGCAAAGAGGGGTTCTTTGGGTAGTCTCTCCAAATGAGATTTTGTTGTTCAGTCGTTTTTCAGTCACATCCAACTCTTTGTGACCCCAGTTGGGGTTTTCTTGGCAAAGATCCTAGAGCGGTTTACCATTTCCTTCTCCAGCTCATTTTACAGATGAAGAAACTGATGCCAACAGGCTTAAGTGACTTGCACAGGGTGACATAGCTAATAAGTGTCTGGGGCCAGATTCGAACTCATGAAGATGATTTCCTAACTCCAGATCCAGCACTCTATTCACTGTTCCACCTAGCTGCCTCCCAAACAAGCTAACACATCACTGAATGTCCCAGTCATCTGTCCACAAAGAGGACAATAGCCAATTCCTGACTTTGGAGTAAACCTCTATAAAACAAGACCTGGTTTAGAAGCATCCTTCTCCCCTCCCACCCACCCACTGCTGCCCTAAGTTTCCTCCCACCTGATTTTTGGGCCTCGATGTGAGGGGAGCATCAAGACCTTTCTCCGCTTCTTCCCATCTGGCAGTTCCACATGCTCCACCTCTGCCTTGGTCTGGAATCCAGCCCATGAACCTGGAGTCCCATTTGGTTTCAGGGGAAGTTTGCTTGGGCCCTGTGTGTGACTCTGGAACCTTCCAGGCTGTTGCTGCTGGGCTTTTGGGGGCCCATCAGCTACAGACTTCAATTTCATTTTCTGCTGCATAAACCAAGAGGTCACAGTGAGTTCCCCACCTGGCTTCTCTATGAAACTTGGCTGCTGACAAGTCCCAGCAGAATACAGGTTTTATGTCAAGCGGGAAAATTAGAAGAAAGAAAAAACAGTATACTTTGGTTTCCCCAAACCTACGGAGGTTAAGAAGAAAACAATAATGGGCATTTGACACGTACTACAGTTGTCACAAAGAGTCTGAAGAGAGGACACTTGGTCTCTCCACCTCTAATAAAGATAAGGAAGAAAGAAAATACCCAGGATCTAAAAGCAAGAAACTTTAGAACTGCTTCCAAAGCAATAACACAATAATATTTTTAGACAATAATTGCACATTTACTTTTTATAGGGCATCAAGATAGTCCTAGAACAACACTTAAATTTACACTCCTGGATTTTCCATCACAGGCCTACTGTCCTATTTAGATTTCACACGTAAATGATCTGCACCCCAAAAGTATGCTGAATAGACAAGTTAATATGATAAAAAATAGCCATAAATGTGAAAGCTAAAATAAGAACAATCACTTCCATGTGTATAAATGTACACACATGCATCTATATTTTAGAAACATATGATTAAAACTACATTGCATAGTAAACCAAAAGGCAGTGAAAATCCAGAGAATGGAGAGATAATATTTAATATAAAATTCTTAATTAGCTTTAGCATCTATCTTGACCAAAAGTTTAACCAGTAATAATATTAATCTGGAGTTTTTCCTCTCCTGTCCCCTGCCCTCCCTCTAGTATAGTGTACCTAGCAAGAGTAAAAGTGCAATGATCTTATTGATTAGAGAAATGCAAATTGAAACAACTCTGAGGTACCACATCGCACCTATCAGATTGGCCAACATGACAAAACAGGAAAATGATAAATGTTGGAGAAGATGTGGGAAAATTGGAACGCTAATACATTGTTGGTGGAGTTGTGAAATGATCCAACCATTTTGGAGAACAATTTGGAACTATGCCCAAAGGGCTACAAAAATGTGCATACCCTTTGACCCAGCAATAGCATTTCTAGGACTATATCCCAGAGAGATCATACAAATGGGAAAAGGACCCACGTGTACAAAAATATTCATAGCAGCTCTTTTTGGTTCTGGCAAAGAATTGGAAATTGAGAGGATGCCCATTCATTGGGGAATGGCTGAGCAAGTTGTGGTATATGAATGTAATGGAATACTATTGTGCTATAAGAAATGATGAACAGGCTGACGTCAGAAAAACCTGGGAAGACTTGTATGGTCTGATGCCGAGTGAAGTGAGCAGAACCAAGAGGACACTGTACACAAATCAGCCACATTGTGTGATGGCTAATATCGGTAAACTTAACCCTTCCCAGACATCCCCACAGGCCTCGGGATGGAAAACGCTGCCCACATACAAAGACAGAACTATGGAAGCTGAATTGCTATTTTTTTTCTCCTCTGTTGAGTTTTGTTCCCTCTTTCTGATGTTCCTCCTCTTGGTTCTAATTCTTACTGACAACACGACTAACGTGAAAATATGTTTAATAGGAATGCAAATGTATAGCCTGTATCAGACTGTGTGCCGTCTTGGGGACAGTGGGGGGGGGGGATTTTTAAACTCAAAAGCATATGGAGGTGATTATTGATAAATCAAAATAAATTAATTAAATTTTTTTAAAAAGTAAAATGATCAAGGGATTAAAGAGGACGAGGAAAAAGGGTCTGAAAAATCTATAAATTCATAGTACTCAAATAATTAAGAGTTAAGGATATAAAAAGCTCTGAAGTAACAGAGACCTGAGCTCTCAGACTTGGCAAAACAAACAACACAGGGCACTTTAAACAGCTACAAAAATAAGGTCTATACCAGATTTCGCTGGGCCCTCAGTTCCTTCATCTTCAGTTTCCTTCGATCTTCCAAAGAGAACTCTACTATTGGTCTCTGTATAAGGGAAGGAGAGAAAAGCTTTCATCAAATGTCTTAACTTGAGGGTACGGTGGGTCACGTATGTATCAGCACAAGTCAGGCCCTGCTGTTTACTTCCTTCTGCAAGCAACTTGTCCACATTATAATTCCCCTTATGCTGGGCCCTCTGATTTCATGTCCTCTATTCTAACACAAGGGGAAAACAGACACCAAGAAGCCCAGCCTGGGTAATGCACATCTCTCCACAGGACGCCTCTCACCTTCTGAGGGCCAAAGACCTCAGGGTTGTTGTTGATGTGACGAAGGGCTGCCAGTGCGTGCTCATGCTCTTCAAACTCCACAAAAGCGTAACCCAAGGACTGACCCTTCACGTTCCCATGTGTACCTTTAAGGTCGCGCATCACTCGACACTGAGGGTAATCAAGGGAAAGAACAATGGTGATTTGACAGAGAGAAAGACATCTTCCCTGTCCTCAAGCAGGTTTTTGATATGGATGGCTCTTACAACACCAAGTTCTCTGGCAACTTAAAATAGGAAGACAATCCTCATCTGGGTCAACATCAACCTAACAGAGCACTTGGCTGGGCACACACAGAATGAGTTAAACAAATATAGCTCCCTTACCTCTGGGAATGTATATCCTAAAAATATACATCAACATGAAAACCAAATTTATATACAAAAGGAAAGGCAACATAATTAAGTACAAAAAAAAAATAAGCTGTCAATAGCTGACTGGCTCAGTGGATAGAACACTGGACCTAGATTCAGGAAGACTTGAGTCCAAATCCAGCCTCGGATATTCACTAGCTATGTGACCCTGGGCAAGTCACTTAACCTCTGTTTGCCTTAACCCACTGGAGAAGGAAATGGCAAGCCACTCCAGTATCTTTGTCAAGAAAACGCCATGGACAGTATTGGCTGACATAATCCACAAGGTCATGGAGAGTCAGACATGACTTAACAACAACAATTCAATAATATGTCATCATTTATTTCACTAGAGCCCTACACCAAAGCTTTATCTTGGCTTACAGGTGAACTTGGTTTTTCAAATACTACATTAAGGGAGAGCAAATTCTCTTGGCTCTCTTAGGTAGGAAAGCATTCAACAAGAACAGAGCTGATAACACCAAAGGTAGCCAGCTCATCACCAAGCTGACAAAAGAGTGATTAATTTTTTTGGCCATAGCCAATCCTTAAATACCATCTATTAAATTAAAACAGTGACAGCAATCTGCATTAGAAGAAAAAGTATCCACACCGATGAAATTACAGACTGGTGAAATATTAAAGTGCATATAAGCTTGTTGAACTTCAGTATTTATGTGTTTGAAGGTGGACAAAGCTATAGGATTTGTATTACATCCACACCTCTCTTTCCCTTAAAGACCTTTCTGAGGAAGAGTGTTGCCCACTGGATTTGAACAGGAAGGGCATTCCAGGTATAGGAAGAACATGAAGAGCATAAAAACAGAGAAATGGAGAGAAGACTCAATATGGCAAAGAGTTCAGTTGGTTGTTTTTTTCCTGTTCAAAATTTATTAAGTTATTTTTAGTTTTTTGGATAACAGCACACAAATAATACTAAGTAATAGCCAAATAATGGCAAGGACTAAGACCTCAGGACACTAAGATGCTGAATTCAGTATTCAACGGCTATTTGCTGAGGACCTATGTGCCTAACATCGTGCAAAGCTCTGTTACGGGCTTTAAAGTCCAAGGTATGGTCACTGACTTCGGATCTTACAATCTTGATGAAGAGGCAAGATTTAAAAAAAAAATTAAATAACAATATAAATAATAATATGCCAATAGAAAAAGTACTGAATTTAGAGTCCCAATACTGGCTTTCACAATATTAATTTGTGGCTAGGGACCAGTCAGGTAAACTTTCAGTGGTTCCAGGGAATTCTCTAAGATTCTAAGCTACAAAGGGGTTGCTGATCTGGATCTGTGAAGGTAGTTTCCACACAAGAAATTCCCTGCAACTAGTGAAATTACAGGTAAAACCAAAAACCAAGTTGTTACAAGGAACAAATGAGATGTTTGTAAAGTACTTTGTACACCTTAAATCATTATATAAACATCTGTTGTTATTATCTCAATACTACCAAATTAAAAATGCATTAATCATAACCACATGCTATCCTTTATATCTGGCAGACAGTCAATAATACTAGTCGTTGAGGATAATGAAATAATTTGTGGTGATGGATTTAGCTACCCCTTCCCAGCAAGCCCCTCCTGTGACCAACAGCACCCATTTACATAATAATGGCTAGGGTGGAATGTAGCCTGAAACCAAGGAACAGAGGAAAGCTACTTTGCCAATGCTGGGACTGAACCCCAAACCCTACCTGCATCATAGCACACAATGTTTAACCAACAGATGTTGGCAGAGACCCCCTCCCCACCCCACCCTCACACATACATCTTTGAATGTGTACAAATGCCAAAGGGACACTTTAAAAGAAAAGGAAGAGATGAAGAAAAAAGGGAGAAAAGGAGTACCCTCTTACCTCCTTCAGGCGCACAGCCCTTCCACCTCCAGCTGCAGTCAGCACCAACTTCCTGAGCTGTTTGTCATCCACGGCCTTTGGAAGATTGTGGAGACACAGCCGGGTCATGGAGACAAAGATGTTCTGATCCTTCAGCTTCTGATGTTTGAGAAGCTCAAACTGTAAGAACAATGAACAACAAGCTGGTACAACTCAAGTCAAACTTAAGAAGAACAGACTTAGAATTTGACAAGAAAGAACATTAATGATAATGAGAGGATAGCTACTGATATTTAGTCATCACACTGCACAGTGTTTTACATAATTTCATTTTATGCTCACGAGAGACTTGTGAGGGAGGCAGCACAAGCATGTTACAGGTAAAGAGCAGAGAGGTGAGGTAAGGTGAGACAAGATGAGAAAGAGCCCAAAGGCACACCACTAATAAGTGACAGAGCCAGGACTCAAACCCAGGCTCCAAAGCCTAGTTCCAAATACAGTATTTTGTCCACTACACAGCAGCTGCCTTCTAAAAGCAAGGAATCCTGTCATCTAATGATTGTGTGTGTGTGTGTGTGTGTGTGTGTGTGTGTGTGTGTGTGTGTGTAAAATGGAAAAGATTGGCTATACAGCCTGGCAAAGCAGGGGAAATACCTGTGCTTCCCTTTGCTACGCTGGCTGGTTTGTTCTGAAAGTACAAGTTATCTTCTCAAATGATGAGACCTTAAGAAAAGTCAACTCTGCCATCTTGAGGCAAAGGAATGTCTGTGCCTATAATCATGTCACCAGAGCTGTACTGTATGGCTACTTGACTACACAAGATACAGCCTCTTTATGTAAATGTTGTCCCAAATTTCATATTTTTGCAGAATTGACTTAGGCTCATGATACTGTATGTATACCAATTTAAGTTCACCTAGAATTGTGTCTTTTTTTAAAGCAAATTTTACTGAACAAGTTATGGTATGTGAATGTGACAGAATATTATTCAGCTGAAAATTATTCTATAAGAAATTATGAAGGGGATGATTTTAGAAAAACCTGGGGAAATTTGTATGAGCTGTTGCAAAGTGAAAGGAGCAGAACTAGGAGAACAGTTTAGATAACAACAACAATACTGTATAGATGATGAAAGACTCAGGAACACTGATCAACACAGTAAACAACCAAGGACTCATGATGAAACATGCTATCCACCTCCAGGTAGAAAGGGGATGGACAGAGAGTAGATTAAACATGTTTTATTTTCTTTCTCTCTTTTTGGACATGGCTAAGGAGGGAATTTGTTTTGTAGACTATACATAATTATAATAAGTTTTGTTTTTCTTGGCTTCTCAATGGGTGAGGGAAGAGAATGTAGAAATGGAAATAAAATAAAATTGAATTTTAGAAAACAAACTTTAAGTAAAGATTACAGCTCGCTCCTGACCTCCTATCACCTTTCTTCAGCTGTGCACTTGATTTCTCAAGCTGTATGTCTCACAGGAATCTCAAACTCAGTAAGTCCAAAACATAAATTATCTATCTCTCAAACCCACCCTTCTTTTAAACTTCCCAATTTCTGTCAAGGGCAATACTAGTGTTCCAACATCCCAGGTTTACAATCTTGGTGTTATCCTCGATTCTTCACTTCTCCTAGCCAGACACATTCAATCATTTGCTTCATCTTCCATCTACTGCCATATTCTGCCCATCTCTCTCTCCTCACATGGCCTCCACTCTATTTTAGGCCCTCATCTCTTTCTCATGGAGACTATCCTAAAGCCTCTTAATTGGTCTCCCTGACTCATGTCACTCAAATCCACCACCCACCTAGTTGCTCAAGTGACTTTCCTTAAACACACAGTTCTGATCATGTCATCATTTCCCTACTAACTAAACTCCAGTGACTCCTTCTGTACAATCACCGAATTTGAAAGCTGGGAGGGACCTTCCCAGTGCTGAAAGGAATCCAACACCATAACATAACTGACAAATGGTCACGCAAGCTCTGCCTGAAGACCTCCAGGAAGGAGGAAAGCCACTACCTGTGGAAGCAGCTACTGTACTTTTGGACAGCTCTAAATATTAGGAAGCTTTTATTGATACCAAGCCTGCATTTGCCTCTTTTCCACTTCTTGCTCTTGGTTTTCTTTGCTAAACAGAACATGTTTCATCTCTCTTCCAAATGACAGCCCTTCAAATACTTAACAACAGCTATCATGTGCCCCAGAGACTTCTCTTCTCCAAAGCTAAATATTCCCGTTCTTCAATCAATCCTTTTTATGATGGCCCTTGGCCATCCTGGATGCTGACCTCCAAACACTCTTAAACTGTAGTTCCCCAAAACACTCCAGATGAGGTCTGATGGGTGCAAATACAACAGGATTAGTACCCCCTTGCTCCTAAAAAGACCAGCCTCTCTGAATTTAACCCAAGACCGAATTAGCTTTTTTGGCTGCCATATCACTGACTCACACTGACTGTGCATTCCACTAAAACCCCCAGATCTTTCTGAGAAGAGCTAACTACACCTTATCATCTTATACCTGGTGAAGCTGATTTTTCTTTACTCAAATGTAAGACTTTACATTATCCCAACTGATTTTCAGCTTATAACATTCAGACTATTAGCATACTGAGATCTTTTTTTGGATCCTGGCCACTTTCCAGTGTGCCTTCTAGGATGAAATATAAGCTCCTCTTTTGGGTTTTTACAACCCTTCACAATCATCCCAACCTACCTTTCCAATTCTGTCATATATGACTCTCCTCCCTGCACTCAGCAGCCCTGGCAAACTGGCCTTCTTGCTGGTCTCATATACAACACTTCATTTTCCTTTCCCATGCTCTTGCACTGGTTGTCCTCCCATGCCTAGAATATATTCCTTTCTCACCTCCACCTCTTAGAATCTCATTCCCCTCACAACTCAGCTAAAATGCCACCTTCTGCTGGACACCCTTCCCACTACCCCCGCTGTTAGCACCCTCCCCACCAAAAGTACCTAAATTTCTGCATTCTTGTATATGGACATGCTTCCACTTCCCCTTTCCCTCCTCCCTGGCAAGGACCGCTCCCCAGCACCAAGCACAGCTGCTGACAGAATGGGAGCTTAATAAATGCTTACTAAGTGATAGTGACTTGCTCAAGCTCACTCAGCTAAGTAAATAACCTCCTAAATCACATAATCTCAGGAGCAACTAAAAAAATCCAGTCACATTTCTATGGCCCCACAGCCAATGAAGAGTGATAAGAGAGTGATGAAGGGAAATGAAGAAAGAGACATCACTTCTCCCCATGTATACTCCATTCACTCTTCAAATGTTGTTCTAATTTTCAAAAAGGGGAAGAAGGTGGATATTTCAAATTACAGGTCTACAATATAAATTCCTGATACTCTAGGATGGGTTACTAAAGGAAGAGTCTACAGAGCACTTAGAAAGGGAAGACAAGATGGGAAAGGAAGACAAGATCAGAAATTAGCATAAGCTCCTTAAAAAACAAGCCATGACAGAGTAATTTCTTTTTTTTTTCCTGGATAGGGTCACTAGACTACATGTGGAGATTATCATGAACACAATATATCTTGATTTCAGCAAAGCAGAGCATAATACTCAGGATTATGGTAAATGTTTAATAATTGTCTCTCTAAAAAAGAAAAAATACCTGACAACACACTTTCAATTTAATCTGTATCATTAATATTTTCTCCATCACTTTCTTAAGTCTAGACAATCAAAAAAACAATAAATCAAGCCCTGACTTGTAGTATTTGCTAATTTCTGAAATTTTTAATACACTGAAATTTTAACAATCAGCCCCAGTGAACAAGTATGAGATGGCTCAAGCACGCCCCTGAAATACCACCTAGGCAAAATGGAAAGCTATGAGCTGAACACTAGTATAGCTGGGTAGTAAAAAGAGCACTGGATTTGGAGTCAGAGGGCATGGGTTCAAATCCTACCTTAGTGTACTACAGAACTCATCCTTCCTACTAAACTTCTACCAAACTTTACCATTTCTGTTGAAGGTAATATGATACTTCTAGCTTCCTAGGTTCATAACATCAAGTGCTAAACCTCAATTCCTCACATTCCTTTACCCCACACATCCACACAGCTGCCAACTCGTACCACTTTAGTGACTGTAATACCAAGATTTGAAACCTAGCTCAAAGACCCACATCTTCCAAGTAGCTTTCCCTGATGATTCCAGCCCACACTGATATCTATCTTCTCTAATTCCTTTTGCACTTATTATCTGTGTTACATAATTAGAATCTGATTATACATTATCCTACTCTCTGTACTACACAATTCAGTATTTTATTATATTAAGATATAAAACTGATCCTCCACTAAAGACCTACTCTAATGATTCATCATGGTGAAGAAATGACCCTGGGTTCTTGAAGGTTATACAAAGAATAATCCTGGGTACGTCCTAAGGTAGCCATTAGGTGATGAATTTTTCCAGTCATAGCAGCCTGTAGAGATCACATAATTAAAGTAAAACCACATAATTGTAACCTGCATTGGAAGAGAGAAAAGATACACTAATGAAATCCCAAACATTTGAGATGCAGTATAATGCTGATACATGTAATATATAAATAAAATATTTGTCCTGTTAAACGCTTTACATATATGCCATATCTGAACTAGACTGCCCCTTGTAGTTAGACACTACCTTATACTCATCTCTTTAATACCCTAAAGTGCTAAGTACATAGTAAGCACTCAAACACTTTCTGATTGCCAACATCTAAAAAGCTGGCCTGGCTCTGGGTAAACTTACCCGTTCTCTCTTGGCAATATCGGCAGCACTCAGACCTTCTGCAGCTTTTGTCCCAGCACGGATCACTGAAAAAAAGAGGGCAAAAGGCCAGGGGGTCACCAAGGGAGTTTTCACTGAGCAATCAGAGGAATGTTTTCTGAATGATACAAACTGCATTCAAGACCCAGAGGGCTATGCTGGTCAGGATACAGCAGTACAGCCCAGAAAAAGGCTACAATTCTCTGAACTCAGAACTGCCCCTGAATCTAAAACATCGAACACTTTGTTTTTACAAAGGGGTTGAATATGTATGCAGGATGTTAGACGGAGAGGCCTGGAAGTAGTGCCCATTGATTTGTACTGCCTAGATAGCTACCGGCAAACTTCTCTAGCCCCTGATGTGGAGTTATCACCTACAGAGTTAAGACAGTGACTTATTCAATTAAGTGAAACTCAACAACACTTATTAAGGGCTTTCTGTGTGTAAGGTATCATGCTAGGCTTTGGGGATTCAAAGATAAAAATGAAAGCAATCCCTGTCCCCAAGGAGCTTATATCATATAGGAAGAACATAACATGTACACAAATAAGTCAATTTGTAGCTAGTCTTCACTGGCACTCTAAGCAGATAAGCAAAAGCCATCCATGAAGATGTCCAACTATGGAGCTAACAAAAGCAGATAATATTAAAGAACAGATGATAAAACTTTCTGAAAAATCCAAATCACGGCTTTGGAGAACATGGCATTGGGAATAGGTCTGGATTTTTCTGAGGGCTCCATAATTCTGTTTGTGGTGATCTGCTGTTAGGAATATTGTTTTTTGGCTTTTTTGAGACAACTTTCCAATACCTTTGTAATAATAAGTAGCAGGGTTCAAGACAAGGAGGGCCAACTGAGTCTGGAAGCCTAGGGGTCAAGCCCTGCCAGTGACACATAGTAGCTGTGTGACTGCAGGAAAAACAAAAATTCTAAATGCCCTCAGGAAACTGAGACCTGAAGTTACAGGTGAAATTCTAAATGCCCTCAGGAAACTCTGAGACCTGAAGTTACAGGTGAACTGCTGATCGGCATGAGAAGAGGCACTTGCCATACTGAGAGTTTCCCTAAACTGATAAAATTATAGGTCCAGACTAAAAACAACAAAAAAGGGAAAAATCAAGAATCCAAAATTATCATGTCTGCAACTGGTTCTAAACAAGAGTCCCTCACCAAAGCTTTTAGCAGAAATGATGACAAGGAGATAAGATTCCCGGTTTGAGTTTCCTTCTCCCTCTTTGCTCCTGCCCACCCTCTGGTGAAATGTTTAAATGCAGATTCACAAAGAAAATACAAGGACCTGGCTTTTCCACAACATGCAAAGTCCTTTGCTCACTAATCAAAGCTGACTATCCGCAAAGCTAGAATAACATATAAAAGATGCTTAATAAAAGTTTTTGAATTGAATAATATGAATAATGCCTGAAGGTCACAGGATTTAGAACCTGAAAGAAATTTTAGAAATCATGTAATAGCTCCATATGAATCTCTTCATGTAATAGAAATAGTTTTTTGTTTTAATGCAAAATTTTGCCCAGCATACAGCACTGCTGAATCTTTTCTGAGACATGAGAATGCAACTGTGAAAATGCATCAACTAAAAGGTTATCTGAAAGCCCACTGCAGATGTGGCACTCTCCTGGACCATGAAACTGTACACAATGTCTCCCCTTACTCACAGCCTTCTCGGGCCAGATAGAGGTTCCGGGTTCCTGTTTGCTTCTTTACATTCTTGCTTCGCAATTTTTCAGCTTCATCCCGGGTCACAGCTAAGTCCACCTTGAGCTTCCGGCCATCCAGCTTTAGCCCTCCATCCTACAATAAAATATATCTTCTATCTCTTAAGCTAGGGCAGGTAGACACAGATAGGAAGTAAGGAAGCATTTAACAAGCAATACAGTGAAAGGGCGATTTCAAATCTTTCTATCTGAAATGCAAATTTAGGATATTCTGGTCTGGTGGTAACAAGGTATACCTTTCAATGTGTACTATTTTCTAGACTAAGAGCCAATGACAAATACAGCCTTGCATACAGAAAACCACTGCTTACTACTGACTCTGAATAGCCCCACCTAGCTATCTAAATGGTCCAGAAGGCAGAACCAAAGTGGTAAGGATATTGTAAATTGGCAAATACTTAGTACTACAGGCAAGGCTCCTGTAAGAACAAATGAGGATACATTTTATTAAAGAGATGAGAATCACAGTGATACAAAATAATCATCCAGCTTTGGAATGCCATCAGAACATAGTCCCATCTATACCTGGCACAAACTCTTTTCTAGACTAAGCATGTTGCCGACTGAAGATTCTGGTAGGGATGACACCTCCTCCAAAAGTGGATCACCTGCCTTTACTCATGCCATCTCCCAAACTTGAAAAAGTAATGCTTCTCCCTTCAATTGCAGTGTTGAAGTACCATGAAATTTTCTCTACCTCTTCATTCCAAATGAAAGCGAGCTTTCTCTTCAAAATTCCTCATAGCACTTTGCCTAGACAACCTTGTATTCTAGTTATTTCTGCGTCTGTTTTAACCCTTCCTTTTCCCCTCTATTAGACCATGAGTCCCTCAAATCCTACTTATTATTACACTTGTTTTGAGGCCCAGACCTTTGATTTCATCTGTGTATGAGTGGAAACTCTCATCATGAATGAAGATCAGCAAGTCATCTGTAACCTATTGGAAAGTTGCAAGGGTGCACTGAGGTTAAGTGATGTGCTCAGTCACACAGTCGATATGTTTCAGAGGCAGCACCTGAACCCGGGTCTTCCTGTCTCTCAGGCCAGCTTTCTTATCCACGACACCTCAATGCTTAACAAATGTTTGCTGAATTAAATTTTCTTGTAGATAACCAAGAGTTGACAATTATCAAAGTTATTTACCCGATTAGATTTTTCCATGGAAATCACTATGGCAAAAATTATAGGTCTAGAAAAATGTCTTACCTCAGTTTCTGCAGAAGCAGCTGCAAGACATGCCTGAGCTGCTTCCTGAGTCATGAATTGGGCAAATGCACAACCTGGAGAGAAACAGAAATGAAACATCTTCCTAGGGTACATCAAGAAGTCAAGCCCAAAAAATAAACGAATGAATGAATGATTTAAAAAAAAAAGTCAAGCCCAATATACTGTAGAGGCTGAAGTGAACTGAGCTAGTGATGCCTCTCATGGCATATCCCCTTGTAGAGCTCTGACCTTTGTCCCATCTTTCCTTCATTGCTCCCTCCTACCAGTCTGGCCAAGTCTCTCTTCTTCAATAAGAGAGCTACTTCTCAGTACTGCCGAGTGTAAGGGGGGTAGCAGATGGCCTGAGGGACACAAGTAAGGGCTACCCATTTTGTTTTCATCTTTTTGCCATCATAGAAAGTATTGCCATGAATATTCTGGTGTATATATAGAACTTTCTATAGAAAGTTTATATAGAAACTTCTGTTTCTGACCTCCTTGGGGTATGTACCCAAGAGAGGACTGATAGGTCAAAGGGTATATAGAACAGCTTAGTAGTTTTTTGTGAATAATTCCAAGTTGCTTTTCATGATTCGTAGATATTGCTAACTCCATCATTCTGAAAGAGGGAGATTAATGGGCCACTTACCACCAACTCCCCCTTTCAGAACTGGAATACATCAGAAAAATTTTACATCACATTAGTGACTGAACATAGGGATTCTGCTGGGTAAATTAGTGCTCCCTTCACTTACGTTCAAACTCTCTTTTTCAATGAATAAATGACTGAAGAGACATTTATTAAGTACTTAATATGAGTAAAGCATTTTGTAAAGCACTGGGGATACACAGAAAAGCAAGACAAGTCTGCTCTCAAGTAGCTCACACACTAACAGAGAGAAAGGCTCAGCTTCCAGTCAGATGAAAAGGCTGGAAGGCTACGGGCAAGGAGGAAATAAGCATTTTCTCAGCACTTATTATGTGTCAGTCATTGACTAAGCACTTTACAAATATTATCTCATTTAATTCTTAGGTAGCACAGCAGACAGTAATGCATCTTCTTTAGTGTTCTTTCCAATGATTAAACCCAGATTCATTTCCAGCATTTAACCATTTGACAGAGCCAGGGTCTCTGGGTATCTGTGGCTACTGAGAAGACAGGGGCTGCAGCATCTACAGAGGGAGCTGTCAGGCCTTTTCTCCACAGGGTGGCAGGTGCCAGGCTGAATGAAAGGCCAGTGAACTGAAGAGCCCTGCAATTCCCAGGGCTCTTGGGCAAGGGGTCCTGGACTGTCACTACCAGGTTCTGAGGAGAAGCAAAGTCAAGGTAGTGGCAGTCACCTGGTACATGATTTGCCATGCTACTTTGGCTACCCTGTTTTGCCTGTCATAAATAGCAAAAGATTAGCAACTGATATGGAGTACCCACCACACTCCACCTCGAGGGAACAGGGTGTGGCTCCCCTGTTAGTATTCCCTGATTTGGAGACACCATGCTATTCAAAGCCTTATCTTTTGATAAGCCTACATACAACTAAGAGTAAAAAAAAAAATTAATAAAGTAGGCACCTGCTTCCCAGTAACTTTCTTGAACTTCATTATCTTTCTACAAGGGAAATAGTCCTTTTTGTTTCTAACATTCCTCCTGATTTTTTTTGACCTTTTTGGTTACAGGAATATTCTGGGTGGAAGATTATCTTTAGGGAACAATCTACAATGACTAAAAGATCCCTCTGCTAAGGTGTAGTTGTTAGCTCAAAACTCATTATCTTAATAGGTATAACTAAAATTATTTTTTCTCAAAATGGCATTTTTTCACTTGCCAACACTGAAGTTCATCTGCTACTTTTCTGCCTGCCTACTCACACAACCTGATGAGATCTTCCTACAATCCATGCCTTTTGATGAGACATCATACTACCTCGAAGAGATGAGTGCCATCTGCTTAAGTATTTTTATGTGCACTTTCTCTTCCAGATCATTTTTACAAATGTTAAAGACTAAATCCAACATTCTCCATCCAGAGAACTGCTGGCTTATCCAGGTTGGCTTCAAAAAAAATTTCTTTGCTCCTACACCATGTTGCTGTCTTCACTCTGGCACACAGAATGAAGTCCTGGGATGCAGCATCCCTAAAGTCACTTACAATCAAGCCATCCTGTCATTTTCCTTTCTTACAGAAGGTAGCCGGGCAATGTCCAAACAGTTCTGTACATGTATGAGTTCTCCATCACATTTGAAATTTAGGTAGACACAAACCAACCAAAACAAGGGCACCTTCTTATCAATTTTTGCATTAAAAATATTTCAGGCAGTTCCATTCCCAAGGTAGGTGAATAGGATAGGTTGGTTGGACCCACACAGTCTAAAATCTGAGCCAAGAAATGTGATCCTGATTTTCTGGTATAATTCCTTAAATGTTTATAAATCAACAACCTGCATACCCAAAGTCATATCTGAAATTGGCTGACGAAAAAAAAATTTTTTTTAAATTAGCTGACGTTCCCCAGATGATCTCTATGTGACCAAGTTTAGGACAGGCGTAGGACCAAAATCCCTTAACTGCCAACTGAGCTAGTGGTTCCGGCCTTGGCTGCCTTCTTTTTAACTTCTACATCTTTTCTCTCAGTAATATAACCAACGACCATTTGTTTAATTATCATCCTGTAGTATACAATAGCCAGATTAGAGCCAGCCCTAATGTCTCTTTGAAACTACAGTCCCAGGGGCAGCTAGATGGTGCAGCGATAGAGCACCGACCCTGAAGTCAGGGGGGACCTGAGTTCAAATCTGGCCTCAGACCAAACACTTGACACTAGCTGTGTGACCTTGGGCAAGTCACTTAACCCCAACTGCCTTAAAAAAGAAAAAAAAGTTTCAAAAAGAAAGAAACTATAGTCCCATCAACTGTCTGGTGGACATCTCATGCTAGCTATCCCACAGGCATCCCAAACTCAACACAGTGAAAACAGATCTTTCCACCAAACCTGACTCTCTTCCAAACGTCTACAGGCAGAACACTTTTCTTCCATTCACTCAGGGTAACCCTGGAGTCATTCTCAACTCTCTCCCTCCTCATTTTTTCCTTTCTTAATCCCCATTATATCCAATCAGTTCTCAAGTCTTATCACAATTTCCTAGAGAAGACTGTCATCTCATCTAAACTAGACTCTTACCATAACCCCCTAATTGGACTCACCAAAATAATCTCCCAAAAAGAGTCTGACCACATCACTACCCTGATCCCCTTCACGGTTCCCCCAGGACTCTTAGATAAAATACAAATCTTTTGTTGGGGATTAAGGTTCTTCAAATTTTGTCTCCAGCCCAGTTTTCCAAGCTTATTTCACATTACTCCCCCTTACCCATTACAATCTGGCCAAACTGACCTATCTGCTGTTTCTAAAACTTAACACTCCACTTCCCAATTCTATGCCACTGAACAGGCCTGTACCCCTCCAGCTCCCAGAACCCCTGGTTTCTTTCGAAGTTCAGCCATCTCTTGTTGGATACCTTTCCTGACCCCTCTAGTAAGGGCTCCCTCCCTCTTCAAATAATCATGCAGACTTAGCTGTTTACATGCTGTGTCCCCCCAACTCTGTCCTTGAGGACAAGAGATGGTTTTTCCTTCATCTTTGTTTCTCCACATGAGCAAAGGGTCGTGCAAGTGGTAGGTACTTAAAAAAATTCTTGCTGAATTGGAGAATAAAAAAAAAAGTGGTATTTGAACATACTGGATTATCATGTCATATCAGGAATTCAGAGAAAAATGGGAATATTTATATGAACTGATTTAGGAAGAAAGCAGAACCAGAAGAACAATATACATAATTATCATGTCAGTAAAAACAACTCTCAAAGGCAGATGGACTCAGATTAAAAGCAATGACCTGTCTTATCCACAGGACAGACAATGAAATACACTTCCCTCTTCTCAACAGAGAAGCAGAGACTACAGAATATTGTATACACTGGCACACCAGACCAACGTTTAGCTGTTTTTCTTTGTTAAAAGGGTAGGTTCTATGGCCATGGAATATTAGGAAATGACTGTGATATAAAAGAACAAAAAACAATGACAAAACATTTTTTTAAAACACGTAGGAGATGCCATCTTTTCCCATTCTTCCATGAGTTACCATTGGACAATGACTAGGCTCCAAATCGAAGGAAGAGAGTTTGCATTTCAGAAGTCATACAGCACTTTCAATGATCCTAAGCTGCTCTCTGACAAAACAGCCCATATTTTCAACATCAATATTCTCCTGATGATTCTACATACATGATGAATCACAGCGAAATCTCTTCAGAATCAAAACATTAGGCGACTAGAAGGGGCAATGGACACAAGCACAATGGGGAGCACATTAACAACAACTGCTTAGGCAGAAGGAGCAGTGAAAAGACATATATGATCAGAAAAGGAGGAAAGCTGGTAATGTAGTGAGATCCAGGGATTAACAGACAACCTGAAGGCTGCACTAACATCCACAAAGCATTAAAAGATCTACAGCTGGAACTCTTAACCTGGGGTCCATTGACAGATTTCAGGAGGTTCATGAACTTGGATAGAAAAAAAAATTGCATCTTTATGTTCAATAACCTTTGGTTTCTTTTTTGCAATATAACATATTTGATTTTACACATTTCAAAACACTATTCTGAGAAGAGATCTATAAGCTTTACCAGGCTGTCGAAGGGTTACTGGATGCAAAAAAGGCTAAAGGTCCTTGACACAGAAGAAGGCCTCCACTATACTAATTCGATATTCCATGGAAGCTGATTAAGACTTGGACAAGAATCTCAAAGAATAATGAGAAGATATGAATGGGTTTTGATCTGCATCACCAGACAGGGAACCCACAGAGATGAAATTACCGACTGAAGTATCAAAATATGGGATATATTTCTTTATTTTCAACTAACGGGAATAATGGAAATCTATTAAACCTGTTATACTATTGCAGAGAGACAAAACTAGGGATGAGATTCCCTTCATAGGTTGTTAACAGGCAGCTGAGACTGTAACAAATACCAAATGAGTCTCATGCACAGGAACCACAAAAAGTCCATTGGTGTACCTCTGTTAAAGACAGGACATGGACTAAACCACTAATCTGACAAATAATAGCACTTTTTATGTTCTCATGCAAAATATTCTATTAAAATTGTATTTTGTAGGGTTATGTTATATAAGACATGCTACCAAAATAAAATTTTAAAATGTGATTTGAGTAAAAGATCTTAAATGACACTACCCTAAAAGATCACTGAGGGCAAAGATCTGACCTTCTTCTTCTTTACACTTCCTTCAGCAACTTGTACATACCCTGAACAAAGCGATATTCAAAGTTGAATGTGTTTAATAGCAAAAGCAGCAGGCTCCAGACCTCTTAGGGGCCCAACTGGCTGCCAACAGTTACCTTTGGAATGCTCTGTGTCTCTGTGTAGGACGATACGAACATACTTAAGGTCCCCAAATTGCTGGAGGATCTCCCCCAGGTCTTCTTCTTCTGAGTCAAAGGACAGGTTTCTATGAAAAACAATCAGAAGTCATGAGAGAATAACCAATTATAAATGCAAGATCCTGTATACCTGCATTGTCTGAAATGCCTCTCGCATAGCTATTTTATCTGACTGCAATTGAATTTATCAATTTTATCTGATTGTGGCTGCTAGGAAATTCAGATTTTAGTGGAAATTCTGAAAAATAACTGAAGCTTCAAAAGAATAAACTTCCAGACTTGAAATACAAGATGTTTACAAGCTTACTGAAAGAAGAGAAAATAGTTCCAAATTCTTTATTTTTCTAGATAAGATTTAGGAATGTTGGAAACCATTATTTGTTTTCTAATATTTTAACACAATGTTAAAATTCCGTATTTCCCCAGCTGTGCATACCCTTCCAGGAATACAGAAAATGGGTTTTAATACAAATCTCCTTAAGAAGCTACCATAAACTCTGCATACAATTATTTCACACAGAACAGTCCAGATGTATGCCTCAGACAGCATCCCATACTGAGCCACACTTTATTTTCTCTCTCCCCATTCTCTCCATCCTTTGTACATCTGCTTGATGCCTATACTTTCTCATATTATTTACTATCTGAGAATTTGTAAGAAATGGTCTCCTTGATCCTGAAAGCACTATCTTCTGACTTTTGATTTTTTTTCCTTCCTGCTACTCTTCATGAATTATTTTCACAGAAGTCTCAAGTAATGACAACATCAAAGTCTGTGACTTTGGTGGCAAATGGGCAGAATAAATTATAGGAAGTGATGTACATTCATTTTAGATATATTTTAATATGCACATGCTGTCTCCCACTCCTTTTATTTGTGATAGGACAGAGACTGTTTCATTTTTGGTTTTGTACCCAAGGTGCCTAGCATTATGCCAGGCATATCATAAATGTCTGTTGATTACCTGGCACTGGTATGAAAGATAGCCTCGGAAGAAGTGAGTGGAGGCAGGAAGAACCATAAAAAGGGGATTGCAATAGTTCACATAATGAGGTAACATAATGAGGTAATATAATCAGGTAATGAGGGCCTGTTCCAGGATAGCAATTGTAGAAAGTGAGGAATCAAAGGATTACTTTATAGATTTAGAAAAAATAACAAAATTCCTTTGGAAGAACAAAATGTCAACATTCTTAAAAGAAATAATGAAAAAAAAATGAGAAGGAAAGAGGCTTAGAAGTACCAGATCCCAAACTCTACTGCAAAGTCATAATTATCAAAAAGATCTGGCACTGGTTAAAAAATAGAAAGGTCAATCAATCGTACAGATTTGGTACACAACATACAAAAGGAAACAAGCACAGTGGCCTAGTATTTAACAAACCTAAAGATCCCAGATACTGGCAGTAAAAACTCACAATTTAACAAAAACTGCTGAGAAAACTGGAAAACAATCGGGTAGAAACTTGTCAGAGATGTTACAGAGAGCAACATCACATACTACATACTAAGATAAGCTTCAAGTGAGCACATGATATAAACATCAAGGGTGACATCATAAACAAATTAGAGGAGCATGGCAAAAATTACCTGTCAGGTATATGGATAAGAAAAGAGTTCATGACCAAACAAGAGATAGAAAGATTCACCGGAGGTAAAATGGACAATTTTAATTACATAAAATTAAAGCATGTGTGCACAAACAAAACCAATTCATCTAAAATTAGAAGGGAAATGAAATTGAGAGAAAAAAATCTTCGCAGCAAGTTTCTCTGACAAATGTCACATCTGAGATAAATGGGGAACAGATTCAAATATATAAGGAGAGCCATTCCCCAACTGATAAAATCAAAGGATATGAACGGATAGTTTTCAGAGGAAGAAATTCAAGTCATCAAAAGTTATAAGAAAAATGCTCTAAACCACAAATAATTAGAGAAATGCAAATTAAACAACTCTGGGCACTATCTCCCACCCACTGGATTGGCAAAGTTGACAAAAAAGGAAAATGACAAATGCTGGAGGGGCTACAGGAAAACAGGAAAATGTTACTATGCCCCTAAAGTTTTTAAAGCGTGCATACCCTTTGACTCAGCAATACCACCATGACCTCTACACCCCAAAGAGAACAAAGAAAAGAACATATATGCACAAAAATATTTATAGCAGCTCTTTCTGTAGTGATAAAGATTGGAAAGTGAGGGGATGCCCATCAATGGGAAACAAGTTATAGTAAGTGAAGATAATGGAATATTGTTGAGCTATAAAAAATAATGAAGGATATGGTTTCAGAGAAACACGGGAAGACTTGCATGAACTAATGCATGGTACAATAAGCAGAACTAGGAGAACAATTTCTACAATAACAAGATCATAAAAACAGTTTTAAAAGATTTAAGAATTAATCAGTGCAATGATCATCACAATTCCAGAGAACCAATGATAAAACATGCTGCCTACTTCCTGACAGGTGATAAGACTCAAAATGCAGATATATATTTTTGGTCATGGCCAATTCAGAAATCTGTTTTGCTTGACTATACATATTTATTACAAGGGTTTTGTTTTTCTGTATTTTATTAGAGCAGGAGCGGGTCAAAATAGATTTTGGTTAGTTAAAAAAAAATAAGATTTAATTTTAAAAAGAAACAGAGGGAAAGGATGTCAGAGATGTTATTAGATGTGAGATCAGAAGGCCTTGGTACCGATGGGATATGACAGGTTAAAAGAGAAGTCAAAAATAGCCCAAGATTTCAAATATGAGAGGCATAGTAAACAGTGGTACCATAGACAGAAATGATCAAGTAAGAAGACAAGGCAGGTTTAAAGAGAAAGATACTTATTAGCATCATCAGAAGCCCTCAGACGTTTCCTCATTCCGCCAGGCTGTCCTGACTCATTCTGGACCTCTCTGGCTTCTCCACCATGCCCTCAAGTAAACATCACTGGGCAATCTCAACATTTTCCAAGATCCAACCAGCCTTGTTATCCACATCTCATCAGTACCTTCACCCCGACCCATCTACTTTTCGGCTTCCTTTTATGTGTTGTTTTCTTCCACTGGAACATAAGCTCCTTGAGGACAGGAACTGTCTTTTTGATATGTGTATCCCCAGTGCTTAGCCCAGTGCCTGGTTCACAGGAGGTCCTTAGAAATGTTTACTGACTATTGACTGGCTGCTGGTCTGCAGTCAATATGAAGACCTTGACTAGAGACAATGATTTAGGACTCATCTGTATGAAGGTAGCTGTCAGAGCTGTGGGAGTGAGGCTGCAAGGGGGAAAAGTGCAGTTAAAAAAGGAAAAGGGAGATGAGGGCAGTGTCTTACAGAACGCCTGCATGAAGGGATCTCTAAGATAGAGCCAGCAAGGAGGGTAGGGAATCTGCATTCACACAGCACCTACTCTGCACCAAGCGCTGTGCTAAGCGCTTTTATAAACATCACCTCATTTGAGCTTCACAGCAACCCTAAGGGCAGAAACTATTACTATCCCCATTTCACAGTTGAAGAAACTGAGACAAACAGAGGTGACTTCACGTACCCAGGGTAAAATCCAGTCTGAGCCAGATCTGAACTCGAGTCTTCACAACTCTAATGAGGTAAGTGTTCAAAAAGATGAGAGGAAAACCATGTTTCTCTAAAACCCAAGGCAGAGTGTGTCGCAGGAGGGTATGGCCAATGGTACCAAAAGCTAGGAAGGCCAAAAGATAAGGCATGAAAACAGAAGAGTGGACTTGGGGGTTACACGTACCTCAGAGCAGTTTCAGGAGAATGATGGGAGTGGAGTGGGGCGGGTCAAAGTCCAACAGCAAGGGGCGACACAAAAAATTAAAGAGGAAGGAAGTGGAGACTTTGGGTACAGAGCACTTTCTCAAGAAGTTTAGCAGTATGGGGGAGTGAAAGCAGTGACTTGCTTAAGCTCTCCCCCAAACCCCTCCAAATACTCATAAAAAATGGCTCTAAACAAATTCTGAAGCAGCAGAACCCACAAAAAGACAGAGTGAAACAAATTTCCAGCCCAAGACAACCTGGATGATTGATCAGAAAGGTGTATCGCGCTGGGCTGCGAGTGCAGTATGGGCACGCAGGCCGCAGCAAACCTGGAGCAGGCTTCAGAGGACTGAATCGTGGGCAGCTGTGGAGGTTTCCAGACTCCTCAATCCACGAATGCCAAAAACAACTTAGAAGGTCAGTGGGAAAAGTCTGTTTCTGTCGGTGGTCAGAGAGGAAGGTGGGGTCTCAGCTCCATTCCCCAAGAGCCTGGCCCGGGGGATGGGGGGGGGAGCTGCTTCCCGAGCTTCCGGCCCACAGACTGAGGGGGAATCCAGTGGCTGATCAGAGAGGGATTGCAGGGATCTCTTTGCCAGTGCTGAGGCAGGAATCTCTTGCTTTGCCCGTGTGTGGATCTGGGTCACAGTTCTGGACGGCGGTGCTGCTGTGAGGAGGAGTGCTGGCGTGGTGAAGCTTGGAGTGGCTGTGGAGAGGAATCCCTCCTCACAGTTACAGGACAGAAAGGAATACTTGTGGTCACAGGCCAGGAAAGGAGTAAACACCTCGCCCCTTATCATACCACCTTGGAAGAACTGAAAATTTACAGGTCCCTACAAGTATCTCTGAAACCAGGTGTACAAACCCCTGAAGCTTGGGACAGTACATTCTCCACATTGAAAGCAGACTCTTACCTTAACAAGAGTTTAAAACTCAAGTAATTGGCTGGGATCATGAGCAAGCAGCGCAAAAAGAGTCAGACTATATTATCTTACTTTGGTGAAAAAGAAGATCAAAAATACAACCAGAAGAAGACAACAAAATCAAAGCTCCTACATCCAAAGCCTCCAAGAAAAATATGAATCAGTCCCAGGCCTTGGAAGAGCTCAAAAGGGATTTTGAGAAGCAAGTAAGGGAAGTAGAGGAAAAAGGGAAGAGAAATGAGAGTGATGCAAGAAAATCATGAAAAACAAGTCAACAGCTTGCTAAAGGAGACCCAAAAAATACTGAAGAAAATAACACCTAAAAAAACAGCCTAACCCAAATGGCAAAAGAGGTCCAAAAAGCCAATGAGGAAAAAATGCCCTAAAAAGAAAAATTGGCCAAATGGAAAAGGAAGTCCAAAAGATTACTGAAGAAAATACTTCCTTAAAAATTAGAATAGAGCAATTGGAAGACAGTGACTTTATGAGAAATCAAACACTGTAAACAAATCCAAAAGAATGAAAAATTAGAAAACAATGTGAAATATCTCATTGGAAAAACAACTGACCTGGAAAATAGATCCAGGAGAGAGAATTTAAAAATTATTGGACTATCTGAAAGCCATGATCAAAAAAAGAGCCTAGACATCATCTTTCAAGAAATTATCAAGGAAAACTGCCCTGATATTTAGAACCAGAGGGCAAAATAGAAATTGAAAGAATCCATAGATCTTATCCCCCTGAAAGAGATCCCCAAAGGAAAACTCCTAGGAATATTGTAGCCAAATTCCAGATCAAGGAGAAAATATTGCAAGCTGCCAGAAGGAAACAATTCAAGTACTGTGGAAACACAATCAGGATAACACAAGATTTAGCAGCTTCTACATTAAAGGACTGCAGGGCATGGAAAAATATTCCGGAGGGCAAAGGAGATAGGATTACAACCAAGAATCACCTACCCAGCAAAACTGAGTATAATCCTTCAGGGGAAAAAATGGTCATTCAGTGAAATAGAGGACTTTCAAGCATTCCTGATGAAAAGACCAGAGCTAAACAGAAAATTTGACTTTCAAATACAGGACTCCAGTGGAACATGAAGAGGTAAACAGGAAAGAGAAATCATAAGAGACTTATTAAGATTGAACTGTTTACATTCCTGCATGGAAAGATGATATTTGTAACTCATGAGAACTTTGTCAGTATTAGGGTAGTTGAAGGAAAAAAATTGTATGTATGTATATATAGATAGATAGAGGGCACAGGGTGAGTTGAAGATTAAGGGGTCATATCTGGAGAATAAAATTAAGGGATGAGAGAGGATGATACTCGGAGAAGAAAGGGAGAGGTAGAATGGGGTAAATTATCTCACAAAAAAAAAACAGAAAAGAAAAGTCTCTCACAGTGGAGGGGAAACAGGGGAAGGTGAGAGGGAATGAGGGAATCTTATTCTCATAGGATTTGGCTTAAGGAGAGAATAACATACACATTCAATTGGGTATGGAAATCTGTCTTACTCTACAGGAAAATAGGGGGAGAAGGGGACAAGAGAGCAGGGGGTGATAGAGAGGAGGCAGATTGGGAAAGAGGGTAATCAGAAGCAAATACTTCTGAGGAGGGACCGGGTCAAAAGAAAGAATAGAATAAATGGGAGGGCAGGATAGGATTAAGGGAAATAGAGTTAGTTTTTCACAACACGTCTACCGTGGAAGTGTTTTGCATAACTGCACATATACAACCTATATTGAGTTGCTTGCCTTTTCAATGAGGGTGGGGGGGAGGGAGGAAGGAGAAAATTTGGAACTCAAAGTTTTAAAAACACATGTTTTAAAAAAATGTTTTCACATGCAACTGGGAAATAAGAAATACAGGAAATGAGGTACAGAAGTCTATCCTGCTCTACAGGAAAATAGAAGGGGAAGGGGATAAAAGAAGGGAGGGGGGAGAGACAGAAGAGAAGGCAGACCAGGGGAAGGGGTATTCCGAATGCATGCCATCTTGGGGTGGGGGGAGGGGTGAGAAATTTGGAACTCAAAAACTTGTGGAAATGAATATTGAAAACTAAAAATAAATAAATTTATATTAAAAAAAAAAGAAGAAGAAGTTTAGCAGTATGGAGGAAAGAAACAGGAAGGGAGCCAGACAGGGCAGAAGGGCCACAGCAAGGCTTTCTAGGCTCAGTGAGAATGTGTGTAGGAAGGAGAAAACAATGAGGAAAAACTTGAAAACAAATGAGAGAGAACGGAAAAGCCAGGCATCAAAGGCAGGCATGTCAACAAATAATTGTGAATGTCATGTACCCCTACAAATCCTTTCTAGCTTATCAAAACCTCTGCTTTCCATCATTTCTCAGTATGTTCCTAAGCCTCAAAGTAGGGGTACAAGTCCCACAGATTACTGCCCTTCAGGGTCAATTTACAACACTGATTCCACACAGTGGTACATTATGCCACTCTGGAAGAATATGGCCTACCTGATAAACACAGTTTTCCCCTCATTCACATCAGATGGCAACTTCCTCTTCTTTTTCTTCTTTGGAACTTCTACATCTAAAGACAAATGAGACATCGGAACTAGTCTGTAGTGCAGGGTCTCATTACCTTCAAGCTGGACAGGTTAGCACTGGCACACCACTTCCCTTCTTTCCCAACTCCTCGTGGAAAAGAAAGTTGTATTTCCCTATAAGCCTGAACTTACAACTAAAGAAGGGAGATGGACAGGGGTTGTCATTAAAATACTTCCCCTATAAAAGCAGGGCATGATTTGCCACAGCAACTTTCGCACCTACAATGCCTCATTCAAAAAAGCTTCCAAGGTTAAATTCAACTGATTTGGACTTTCCCATGGCATCTGACATAAATGTTGTAACAGGTATTGATCTTTTGTTGGGAGTCTAGACCCGTGATTTCTTTAGAGTACGGAATACTCAGTGAAGAAATTCCCTTTATCAATGTAGATGAACAGCTATTCTGCAACCAATAATAATCTTACAGAATTGTCTGGGTTACTGAGAGGTTAAATGACCTGCCCTGGGACTCAAAGCCAGCAGATGTCAGCATTAGGATTTGAACCCAGGTCTTTCTGACTCCCAGCTTCCAGCCCTTTTTCATTATATCATCCTAGCTCTCACTGACATGTTTAGAAAGTAACGTACAGCTTTAAGAAGTGTTCCAATAGGTCTCAAATGTCTACAGTGTATATGTGGTATAGGTATATCACCTATAGTGGGAGGTACAGAAAAACATTTTGAATGTCTAAGTTGTCACCCTCTGCCTGAATATTTCACTTAAGCGGGATTGTGTCCAATAGCCATTTAATGTAGATTTTCAGTTCACTAGGGAAGAATATTCACCTTCCTAACATATATATTTCCTACTCCAACCTCTTAAAAATGAGCTCTGAGTAAGGAAGTGAAAGAACATGACAGATCTCTTCTTTTTTTTTTTTTTGCAACATAGATTTCTTAAAGTAAGTTTTATACAAATATGAAGGGCCTATTTTAAAGTGACCTAAAGTGCTGGCTCGAATTCTTAATAAATGAGTAAAGATCTGTACTCAATGCAAAACTGTTACTAGGCAAACCTTGGTCTTCATCTGAATCTACTTCATTCTTATCCCGCTCCTCTTCATCTTCACTGCTACTTCTTTCCTCTAGGTCACTGTCCTCATCTTCCTCACTGCTCTCAGCATCCAAAGTTAGTGGTCTTTTGCCTTCCCTGAAAAATGAACCATCAGCAATTAGGAATCTGTGCCGACCAAGAGGCCTTTCTGGATTCCACCACACAAGCCAATTCTGTTTCCAAAACCAAAACAGCGGCAGTTCCTCTTCCTAAAGATAACTGGTGAGCCTTCAAACTAGAATCTTCTTTTCTGTGCTCAGAAAAGGCTTTGCTACTCACCTCTTCTGAGTCTTTGCTGACTTGGCCACTTGTAACTCTTCTTCTTCATCCTCATCATCCTCATACTCCTCCTCCTCACTGCCCTTCTCTTGACTTGCATCCTGCCGTCTGGGTTCAGCGGGTTTTTGCTCCTCACCTATGAAGTGAAGTGACAAATATAATGGAGGTGATCTGGCACAGAAAGCCGAGGAGCTGCTAGGTCAGCTGCAGAGACCGATGCCAAAGCCCTAATAATAAACCCTCCCCCAGTGGCTCTACAGGTTTCTCAGGGTCTATTTTCTTCATTTGCTAGGAGAATAACTAACTGGAAGGCGAGGCTCATCATTCAACTTTTAAAATAACTCCCTCTTCCTAAAAATATTGAACACTACTCTTACTTAGAATAAAGAAAAGAGGTCTGCATCAAAAAGCTTATTTTGACCTGATATAAAGCTCAAACCAAAGACTGATATCCTAGTCACAGAACTTACTCCCCCACAAAATCTGCTCTCTGAAGCTGGTCATGAACTGAAAGTTACTTGTTTTCTCATTCAATAAGGTATGGCTTCAACAATTGTGGAACATGAAAGTAATATTGTGCCATAAGAATAAATGAATATGGAAAAAGTCAAAGAAGCCTGGGAAGATGGATGCAAAGTGAAGCAGGACCTGGAAAACATAATACACAACGGTAACAGCAACGTAAATGGAAAGAACCAAAAAAAACCAAAGACTCAAAAAAGTGAAAAGGCTGTGAGATTAATTATGACTACCAAGCTTGACTTCATAGAAGACGTGAGAAAATACATCCCCCTCCCTTCTTTGCAGAGGAGGGGTACTACTGGTCTAGAACACTGTATATGTTGTCAGATTCAGTCAGTTTTGCTGAAATTTCTTTGTGCCTGTTTTTCCCACAGCACTCCAGTATTTGTTGTGCAGTCTCCAGGTTGTGGTCTGTTAATCCCCAGATCTTACTCTATTACCAGCATTTTGTTTAATCCACTTACCCAGCCATGTTGTGAATTAAGTAAATGAGAAAAGATAAGAAACAAACACAACATTACAGGGTAAGTGGATTAAACAAAGAGTTGGTAATGTAATTACCAAGATGAGAAAGGAGGTATCACTTGAGTTTAAAGAATGGAGAGAAATTCAACAGGATTTCAAAAGAGTAAGAAAAGACATTTAAAACATCCCTTCCAGAGAACTATTAAGCCTTTACCTGAAGCAGAAGACTGTGTTGCACTATATTTATCTTTGGCCACAGCCCAATCCACAGCTACTGTCCGTCCTGCCAGATAAATAATGGACATTAGAAAGAATATTTCCTTCCTTTAACATTCTTTCTTTAAGGGGTCCAAGCTCAGTCTCAAGACACAAGGAAGTGCCAGCTCAGAGAACAACTGTACCACCCTCCAAAGAAAACTCCTAGAATTGGCCTACCCTTGTTTCAACAATATAACACACTCGTGTGACCCTGGACAAGTCACTTAACCCCTCACCAAATTTCCTCACCAAAAAACAAACAAAACAACAACAACAACATAACACACCGTCCAACAACAGCTGCCCAATGAGGGCTGGAAAGAGGGAAACAGGAAATCAGAAATGTCCCTACCCCCATCACTACACCTATCCCTTCCCACCTTCTATACCTCCAGGCTTCTGGGGAGAGGGAAAAGTGAAATGTCAGAAAAGAAAAATAAGGGGGCAGCTAGGTGGCACAGTGGATACAGTACCAGCCCTGAAGTCAGGAGGACCTGAGTTCAAATCCGGCCTCAGACCAAACACTTGACACTTACTAGCTATGTGACCCTGGGCAAGTCACTTAACCCCAATTGCCCAAAAAAAAGAAAGAAATAAAGAAAAATAAAGGGGGGGGCAGAAATAACACTGGACTAATAGAAGATTTGTTCAAAGTCTGTCTTTGACCCTAAGCAAGTTATTTCAATTCTCTGACCTGGAGTTTTTCTACCTGAAAAGGGAAAGAGAGGGCAAAGGATAACATCTGAACCAGCAACTTCACAGAACTGCTGATATTTTATAAACCTTAAAGCACTGTATAAATGTCAGTTATTATCATCATCAACCACCGTCTTTAGTGTTTGTACACTATTAATTTAATGGGACAAGGACAGTACCAGAGCTCAGACTGAGAGATCACACTGTGTCAATTGCTTTTGCTTAACAATTTGGGAATATTTTTCTTACAAGGGGTTTCATTAGAGGGAGGGGTATATATGGAAATGACCATGATAAAATAAACATCAATAAATCTGAATTTTCAAAACAAATCAAGGGGGTTGGATTAAATCAACTTAAAGAGAAAAGTAGAAGACTTCCATCCTACCTCAATGCCAATTCTCATCTGTTATCAATTGTTTTAGATCCTTTGCCCAGCCAAAGTTTTAAAAATATACAGAGTAAGGACAAGCAAGAGAAAAGATATTTCTAGCAACCTCAGATACCTTCAAATTTAATCCTAAGAGAAACTGTCATCAGGAAAATGTCACCAAACTGGTTAGTACACCAACAATGAAGACTGACTAATGTAAACTCTTGCATTTTTCAGGAATAGAAAGAAATGTATTTATTATGCCAATTTAACCAGGTATTATGCCCAGGTCTTTGGGGGACAAAGAAGGTAAAGCAGACCAACCTTTTATTTCTTTCATGTTCGTGCCTTTCAAGGCTTTTCCTGCTTCTAACAGATTCTTAAATTGAACAAAAGCAAAGCCTCGCATTTTTCCATCTGTAAGTAGACAGGACACAGAAAGTCAAGTAACTGAGCAATTAGTGTTGGAAACACAGGCTGCAAAAATGGAAAAAGAATTTTAAGTTAAGTAGAATTTTAAATTGGCCTCTCTCCACATTAAAATGGCACTCCACTCACCAGAATGAGTTTGGCTCCTTGACCCAAGTTCAAAACAAATGATACATCTTTTAAAGCCACACTCCTAAGGCTGATAAAATATCCAATCTATCCTAAAATACCCAAAGGAAAAGGCAAAAACCTCATACGCATGTTCTGGATACTGCCTAACATAAGAAACCATGAGTTAGCTAAATATTTTTAAAACTTCATTCTGATTCATAAGATGGGCAGAGAGGTTCATCAGTACCTGGCTTCCTAGGAATGTTCACCTCCAAGACAGCACCAAACTGAGCAAATAAGGTCTTCAGATCATCTTCTGAACACTAAAAAGAAAAAGCAAAGTGATGTAAGGAGTGTAACCACAAACAAACCAGAAGCAAACCAGCTCTTGAGAATTCAGTTCACTAATATTAAGCCACTTTTTGGTTTCAGTGGGTGGAAAATCAGATTTTTGGAAAGGGGGTGTTTCATTACGGAATCTATGGCAGAAAGGATAGAAAAGCAGAGCCATCTTTTGACATCATTATAGCTAAGACTCATTTTTAAAAAGAAAAGAAGTCAACAACAGGCAGGTGGCACCACTGACAATAGATATTTTACAGGTTATATTCTCCAGCGCTCTTGAGGCCCTATTTGATCACCAGACTCAGATTCCGTAGCCGCTCATTTCTACCTTAAAACTTAGATTCCGGATGATCAATCTAGCTTTTTTGTCAGCTACTTTCGTTTTTTTAGGCTTGGGCTTTGATTCTTGTTCCGGTTCTTCCTGTGAGGTCACTGAACATTCTGGAAAAGAAAAGAGAAGGACAGAAGCAAATATTTGCCCTTGATTATACAGGGAAAAAAAACCCCCAGAGGATTCCAAGTGTAAAGGAAACTGAGATGGATAGATCCTCCCCAACCCTGTGTAACCGTCCCATGACCTAACAATGTAAGTACCTCATGACCTGACATAAAGATAGATGGGAGTTACCACGCATGGCCAGAGGCGACCATGGAGACGAAACATTAAATAACCAACAAGCTATGTTACCTGGGAAAGCAATTCATCTCAAAGAACATTTTTCTTGAGAAAGGTGTGTAACTGTCCAAGGAATTGATCACTCCTTGGAGACTTACACAACAAACAGGTATTTGGACCTCTGATCAAGCCCCAACTTCTGTTATAGATGTGTGTGTGTCTGGACATGAACACTCACCAAGGATACATACACAAAACAAAACGCTAAGATTGTCTTTCCCTGGTTTACATAATTATGAAAAGGGTCATTTGAAAGGAGGATTTTGGAGTACTTTGATGCAGAGATAGGGATGCCAACTCTCTGCCAGAGGCAGATCACGTGCACGGCCTTCATTGTGTTCCGGGGTAGGACACTCCCCGTTGCCTCCTTGACCAGACCCATTGGGCCATCTCCAGTTTCCCCGGTTTTATGGGTATTTGAGCTCACCTGGTCAGTGAGTGTGTATCATTTCTTTTCTTATTCCTACTTTCCTTTATGTTGATTATTACTTATTGCATTGAATATTATTCTTACCTTTATTGCTTGTGTGGTTTTTAATCATTATTAATCATTGTAAAATAAATATGATTATTTGTTAAGTTTACATTGAGTACATGTCATTATACCTTGAGATTCGAACCTAAATTGAATCTGAGCAATACGTAATACTTTTGATTACAACAAGGTAACTTGGGAAGAGAAATGGTAAGATGACACTCGTCAGAGGAATGAATACCAGAACACTAAAACACTGGAGCTACAGGTATTACACCTTGGGTCGTGATCAACATATTAATGAGAAATCACCAAGACCAAAATCCAAGGCCAGGGTACTACTGAGAATAGCATTAAACTAGAACAGACCTTCCATTAAGTTGCCTATGCCCAGGAACACTGGCCTTCTCAATTTCAGGAGTGAATGAAGGAATAAAATGAATAGCCAAATGAGGCCTGGGAGAATTAGAGAATTAGAGGTAGTTTTGGAGACGTTCATTTTGGAGTCTTTAACTTTTAAAGACTCTCCTAAGCCCGAGTACCTCTCTTTTCATGTCATAATACTCTCCTTCATCCTAAACAATAACTGACTTCTTTCACAACTTACCCTTCTTCTCTTTTCCCTTTGTTTTGTTCTTTAGTTTTCTCTTCGCAACAATCACATTGATCTTGCAACCTTCAAAGGTGGTAACTTCCTTGAGGGCCCTCTGAGCATCCTCCAACATGGAAAAAGTGACATAGCCAAAGCCACGACATGTCTTACTGCCTAAAAGGCAAAAAGGGGGGGGGGGAAGAGAGCTATAAACCACAAGAACATCTTCATAAAAAGGCCAGAGCCCTGCTATAAATCATATTACAGAAAACACGACCTTTATACAAGCCAGAATTATGAAGAAAATGGAAAAGCCCTGATGAGGCAGGAAAAGAGGTATCTGGAAGACTGTTTATAAAAATCAAATGACAGCTAAGGAGTGGCCCCTCAGAATAAACAAAACTCAGTATCTTTTAGGGTACCGCCAAAATAAACTCCCTGCACTGCTACAGGGGATGGTATCATATGCACACTATTATTAACAACTCCTTCTATAGCACACTTTTAACACTTCCATGTCAATTCATATCTATTACCTTATTCTAAACACCAACCTGTGAGGTGGGCAAAGCAATAATTAATACTTCTAAAAAGAAAAAGAAAAAATATTTCTATCCTGGAGATGAATAAAGTATTTTACTCTGATCTTCTGGAAGATTCATGACTTTATCAATGCAGTTGTTCCATCCCCTTTTTAAATGTTTTCATCACGTTCACATCATTCTTGTGCTTATTTTCCCATAAAGACTCCATTAAGAATCTCCCCAAGGTTCTGGAGGCCTTCATAGGATCATCGATTAGAACTGAAGAAACCCCAGAAATCATCTGATGCAACCCCTTCCTTTTAAGATGGTGCACAGTAAGTAGGCACTTTGACCAAGAGAGGTCAAGTAACTTGCTTAAGATCACAAGGGTAGTGGCAGATCAAGGCCTTTTCAAACTCAGGTCCTCTGAATCCAAATCCAACATTTCCCACTGTACCACGTTGTCTTCTTCTTGTTATGTTTGTGTTTCAGGAAATACGCATGTGCCACTCCATCTGCTGCCTCTCATTCTCACTACATGATCAGTTTATCCAATTATGCTTCGATAATGTCTTTTGTGCCATTTCTTACGTGCTAGTTGCTGCTGGTAATATACTGTAGCCTGCTTAAACCCACCACGCACATCTTTCCATTACCCTTTGTGTTAACTGTACTTTTAAATTTTTCTAAACCTGTAATAGTCTACTCTTAAGTGGCTGCCGAGGACACGCCATGATGCACCAGGGCTAAAAAGAAGCCCAAGGAAAGAGTCAAGATATAAAATGACAATATGAAATCGAAAGGAGCAGAGCAAGAAGCAAGATGGTTCTACGGTTCAATTTAAATTTAAGAAACACATACTACTTAGTGAATTAATGAGAGCCTATTGTGAACAGTTTGTCAGTTAGGCAGATTAGATTCCAATTTGATAGGCAGCCAAACAATGAAATAGATATACCTGGACAGATCTAAATGGAGGACGAAAGTCCAATCAATATGTCCTAGCAGCATACAGATGCTTTTGCCAAAAAGAGAACCTTCTATTTTATTCCAGAACTCTGCTCCCAAGGAAAACAATATGTCCAAAATTACAAAATCAAGATTTGGTTCTTCCTCATCCTAACTACACCAGTAGTTTTATCTCTTCTTTCATTTTTCTCTCTCCTCCTCCTCATTATTTTATGGTACATAAAGTAATGCTAAATTGCTGCATGTGCACGGGTATAATGCTTCTAGGTGTTTTTTGTTTTTTTAACTAAAGAGCCAATAGTATATTTTAATTAAAATCACATGGATGTGAACTTGCTAAACAAATTATAGTCTATAAATTTAATAGGAAAATTATTGTCCCATGAGAAATATCGAAACAGGTGGTTTCAGAAAAAGCTAAAAAAAATGTATGAACTGACAGAGTAAAGTAAGCAGAACCAAGAGAACAATAACATTATAAAGAAAAACAACTATGAAGACTTGAGAATTCTGGTTGATGTAATGACAAACCCCAAAACTCTAAAAGACCAAAGATGAAGCATACTACCTACCTCCTGACAGAGGTCATAGACTCAAAGTGCAGAATGAAACCTACATTTCTGAACGTGCCTAAAGTAAAAATTTGCTTTGCTTGTTAATGCAGATTTATTGAGTTTTTTTCTTTTTTTTTTCCAATAGTGGGTGGGGGGAAGTGGGGATCAGAAAAAATAAATGCTTGTTATTTGGGGGGAAAAATTTTTTAACCATCAAATAGCAATGGGATAAGAGAAAAACATACTGGTTCTGTGATCTTTTTCCCATCAGTAACATGTTCATTCAGTTTTTATTTTATATTCCAATAAATTATCGTATTCTGATGCTTAACAAAAACAAAGCAAAAAAAGAAACCTTGCATTCCTCACTGATGGGATAATTTCAGGGTTTTTCTTTTATAGTAAAATCAAATACAAAGTTACAATTCTTGGCACATAGATACATGTAGGGGCAATCTGTGTTTAAGTAAGGATAAATTAAAGAAACTGGTCCTAGTTTTTCCTTCAAATCAAGCATTTTATTTAAATAAAGTTGTTTTAAAATTTTTAGAAAATTATGATGTTCTATGATTCAAAGGCATAAAGAAAGAACTGCCAGAAGAATGCTGTTGCTAAAGAAATGTGTTTTTCATTACTTGTGATAAGAGAAAGCTGGGAACAAAATGAGTATTCAATGACTGGAAACTAGCTGAAAAACATCATCTATGAATGTAATGGAATGTTACTGTGCCATAAGGAATGATAGAAATGAAAAATTTAGAGAAATAAAGGAAGATTTGTATGAAAGAACGCAGAGTGAAGAAAACAGAACCAAAATAACAATATACATAAGGATTTAAATAGCATTTTAAAAACCCAATACAGAGGGGTAAAAAAAAAACTTTAAGTCAAATAAGTAAATTTTAGCACCATATTATTAAAGTTAAGAAATTCTTTTTTTTCCTATTAATAACTAATTTTCTCAGGGACAGTACTAAGAGAGGTGGGTAAGTAAATGAACATTTATTATATGCCTACTCTGTGCTAAGTGCTGAGGATACAAAGTGTTTGCTGGGTAGTGTCATTTGTACCAAAACAAAATTTATCAATCCTTTCTGGTTTTTTTTAAAGAAATGAACATTTGGGGGCAACTAGGTGGCACAACAGATAGAGCTCCAGCCTTGGAGTCAGGAGGATCTGAGTTCAAATCCAACCTCAGACACTTGATACTTACTAGCTGTATGACCCTAGGCAAGTCACTTAACCCCGATTGCCTCACCAAAAAAGAAAAAGAAAAAGAAATGAACATTTGCAGTATGCTTTTTAGGTAGAATCAATGATTCTGTACATAACTATGCAAATAAAAGAAATAGTAAGAATTCTTAAACTTAATCAAGAAAAGCAACTAGATCTGACCAGGAACATATCGAAGAAATTCATTTAAAAGTGTTCCAAAGGGAGATTTGTAAGAACACAGAGTAAAGTAAGCAGAACTAAAAAAACAAAACACACAGTAACCACAATAATATGAAGGGAAAAAAAAAAGAAAACACCAAATGGTATGTAATTATAATGACCAAGGCTGGCCCCAAAGAAATGAGAAAATACTACTGTCTCCCTCCTTTCTTTGCAGAGGTAGAGAACTATGGGTGAGGAACACTTCATATTCACTGTCAGACTCAGTTAATAAATTGGTTACTTTTGCTGAACTGATTTTTTTTCCTTTTTTTAAAAAATCCTTTGTTACAAAGTTTGGCTCACTGGGTGAAAAGAGAAACATTCAGACATGAAGTACTTACCTTAAAAAAAATACCAATGAAAATTACACATTCAAAAAACCAAAGTATTCAAGGATTAATTCTGAAGCTACCTCAAAGAGATCAAGATTTCACAAGAAAGGAAAAGATGGTAAACAGTGCATTTAATAAAAAAAATAAATAAATGAGAAGCCACCAGTGCAACTTCTGATCCATGTAACCGATTTCTCATTGATATCACTGATGAAGATACTAAAAGGGAAATTTTCTGGCAATCTTCTAAAGCAGATCACATTTTTGGAATTACACAAATAAGAGCTATAGAAAATATAAGATCCTACTCTATGGTTTCACTAATTTTTACAACTGCACAGAAGTGCAAAATACAGCACTGAAAGTTCTCCTCCATCATATGTCTTTAATACCAAAATCACAGAAGAATTCATCACAAACACAACTACAGAAATTGCTTTGCTTAATTATCTATTAAGTAACAACATCAATCAAAGCAGTTAAACAGGAAGGTTAGATACAGCTTAATTCAGTGGAAGAATGCTGGATTTGGAGTCAGAGGACCTGGGTTCAAATCCTAGTTCTGCTACTTATTACCTGTGTAAGCCTGAACAAGACACTTAGCTACTCTGGGCCTCAGTTTCCTCATCTGCAAAATTAAATAATTATGTCCTCTAAACCTGTGATCCTACACAGTACAGTCTAGAAAAGGTAAAGATGTCTTATTAACGGCAAAGCTCTTCAAATGCTTCTATTTATGGTGACAACCTCCTAACTCCATAAACTCTGAATACTATAAACCCCCTTCAATGAAATGGAAGTGACATAAAAGAATCTATCAATCCATTATGGAAAAAAATGAAATGTATTAAAAGTACACATTGTCCAGATTATTACATTAAGCTAGATAAACAACCAGTTGAATTGGACATTAGTATGTATACCCTGAACAAGTATGGATAAGTTGGACTCGGAACAGAGCAGGAAAAGATCAGGCTGGAAGGGATCAGGAAAACTGAATAGTTTTCTTTTTTTTCAATTATCAAAAAAATAAGAAACAGAAAGGATAAATGACCTGAAGCGGAGATTGTAGAAAGGAGGTTTCACAGTGAGCTCACAGCACAGTCTGGTCCCTTGATTGACAGGACCATGATCTTTCTATTAGTCATCATTTCCTTCCCAGTTACCAGGGTGAAAAGGGAACCATCAGCAGATGAACGTAGAGGAAGAACAAAGGCACTGAAGTGTTATAATAGAGAGAGAATTGAATTTGGAGTCAGAAGACTTTTGTGTGAATCCCAACCACTATCTCATTTAGTCTCTCTGAGGGTCCACAGCTTCCTTACCAGTTGGGAGGGAAGAGATGGATATTTCTAGCTCTAAATACCATTGTCTCTTTTTTGGAATACTCATTGGTGTTTCATGCAAATTATGACATAAAATTTTCAAATTAATCTTGGTGATCAATAGGCTAAATACTGTATGTCACTTTAAAGATGATATATACTCATATTTTAAGGGCAGAGTGATAAAAGCGGGGTAGAGTGTTGGGTGTGGAGTCAAGAAAACCTAAGTTTAAATCCAGCCCCAGACACTTATTAGCTGTGTGACCCTGACCATGTGGGCACGTCACTTAATCCTGCTGGCCTCAGTTTCCTCATCTATAAAATGAGATGGAGAAGGAAATGGCAAGTCATTCCAGCATCTTTGCCAAGAAAACCACAAATGAGGTCATAAAAAGAGTTGGACATGACTTAAAGGTCTGAAATCCTCATATTTGCAGTTGACATTTTAAGTTGAAATAAGCTTCCATTCCTTTTCCTCTAAAAGGATGAAAAGAAGCTGAAGAAGTTTCTAAATCCCTGTCTAAAAAAATCATTTTTTCCAAAAGTCACAAACCACATCATTTTGTCTAACATCAAAAGCAGAAAAAAAATTCAAAGACACTTGACCTCCTTTTCCTACACTACATGCCATAAGCACTACACACTTATCCTACACAACAGCCTTGAAAACAGGAGACTGACCATGTAATCCAATTAAATCTCATACCTGGCAGCTCAACATACGAGTTTGTTTCCTTTCCATGTGAAGACATTCATATGTTAATTTGTCTTTTCACTATTAAGGAAACAGGATCAGTAGGATCAGAGCCTGCTCTACTTAGCACAGAGGAAAAAGGATCGGAGCCTGCTCTACTTAGCACAGAGGAAAAAAGTACAGGGAGAGACAAGGAGTTGTCCAGGAACTCCATGTGAGGAATTTCATGGCTTTGGAAAAAGTAACAAAAAGAACCTGCTGAGGTTTTTGGTCTGTTATTTAACATACATGGGAAAAATCTGCCCCCATATATAAGATGTATGAAAGAATTACTGCTCATGCACATCCAATGGGTTATTCTTCCTGGTTCAAAGAGAAAGGGGGAAAAAAGCAACACATTGACACAGGACCTTGGTTTCCAACCTCTGGCTGAGATCCAAATTAGGGTTGATCTATCAACATTTATTAAGAAGTCACTATGTGCTAGGCACTGGGTTAAGCACTAAGTCATTGTCTTACAGGATCCTCTGAAAAAGAGGAAAAAAAAACCTCCTAGAGAAGAAACTGACCATATCTGACCAGCATTATTTCCTGGGCTATATACAAGGTAAACAGGTTAAAGCCCAAAGGCTCCACTCCTTACCAGGTACACAAAGAAAATGGAGCCAAGGCCACAAGCGGAGAGTCAAGATCCTACTGTCGCAAACACCAATTCCTTCTTTTCAAGTTATTACAGGAGCAGGGGCAGCTAGGTGGCACAGTGGATAAAGTACCAGCCCTGGAGTCAAGAAGACCTGAGTTCAAATCCAGCCTCAGACATTGACGCTTAACTGTGTGACCCTGGACAAGTCACTTAACCCCGACTGCCTTGCCAAAAAAAAGGCAAAGCTATCACGAGAGTAAAACATAAATAGCCCCGAAGAATAGGGACAAAATAAGCACACTTCTGCAGTTTCAGGTAAGACTGTACGGAAATACGCCATGAAAACCAAATGCCCAGGATTTATTCAGCCTCCTGTGTTGCAGCCCCACTCCTTCGCTTGTAGATGTCCGTCTGTCTGTCTGTCGGTCGGGTCTCTCTTCTCCATGCCCCCCCCAGTTCCGGTTTATCTCCCCCAGGCCTTACCTGCTCCCCCATCCCATCCCTCTCCCCGGCCCCTGAACAGGCCCCCTAGGATTTCGGCTGTCTCGGACCCCTGGCGGTGGTGGGGGAGAGGGGAGAGGGGAGCGAGACGCCCCCGCAGCCCCCTACCTTTCTCGGTGACCACGAAACACTGCTTCACGGGCCCCACTTGACTGAAGAGACGCTCCAGCTGCGGGCTGCTGGCCGAGGCCGGGAGGCGGCCCACGAACAGGGTCTGTCCCGCCATCGGGCCCAAAGGCTGGCTCCGTGCGTGTTCAGAACCTCCGAGGAACCGTCCGGGGGGCACACGCACCGGGAGAAGGGTTCAGCGTGCAGGCTCTGCGAGCCTGACCGGAAGAGTCCACGAGAGAAAGGTGTCCGGGTGAAAGCGCGGCCCCTGGGAGAAAGCAGTTCCGGCAAGGCCTGGGCAGGCTCCTAGGCTGCCGCGAGGGAGCGCTGACCTAACCCGGCGCTGGGAACAGTTCCCGCCCCAGCCTCTCTTGGTGTGCTCCAGTGCTTGCGCCCCCTGTTGGATCGGAGGTGGGGTTTTTTTGGTGTGTTTTTTTTTTCTTTTTGGCAGCTCAGTAGCACCTCTCCTTGGGACCTGCACCCTGCCTGGTACCTAAGTAACTGACGACTCCTTGACCTCCAGCGTATATTACCACCCCAGGTTCCATGGATGCCACGTGGCATCTGGTCACCCAATCCTGCTCATGAAAAGAACCAGGAAGAACCTTAAAGGTCAACATCCCCTTCCCTAGAAGGGGAAATTGAGGCCCAGAGAGATTGTCTTGTCCAAGGACTCAGAGAGAGCAAATGGCAGAGCATGGATTCCAACTTGGGTCCTCTGACTCCCAAATTCAGGAATGGCAAACCAATTATCCAGTGGACCCGATGGACACTAGGATCCATGGGGTCAAGAAGAGTTGGACGCTGCTGAATGACTGAAGGACAACAAGCGTTAATAAAAGTCAGAGGGTGGGGGTTGGACCCATACCCATGGCACACAATCTCACAGTGACAATTGTCTGGGGGAGGCACGCAATTAAGTGGAACAGTACTGACTCTGGAGAAAACGGGGGTTAAAACATCCCGTCTTATATTTAACTACCTCTGGCACTTTAGGCAAGTTACCCACCCAATGCCAAAGGGATCAGTAAAATGAGAGAGTTGGGCCCCTGCCAACTTAGTTCTATGCTCACCCTCCTTATCACATATATTTGCAGCTTTTCTGGCTATCTATGAGACTGCACAAAGCATATGTTTGGTTGGTGGTTTGTATTGATTTTTGTTTTTACATGCCCTACATCTTCTAATATATCTCCCCCCCTTCCCCATTCCTTATGTCAAAAAGTAAAAGAGAAAAATAGAACAGTTTTTTTTTACTTTTTTTTTTGGTTTTTTGGAACATTTACTTTTTTTTAAATAGAACAATTTAGGAAAAATATGCACCAACTAGGTTGAACATTATATGCAGTGTTCTCTATTCATAATCCCCTACCTCTGCAAAGACGGAAGGAAGATGCATTGAACCAAAGTATTTAAAATACAATAAAAGCAAACCTCTCTTGGCTTCAGTTTCCCCCTCTGTAAAGTGATGGGGTTGGATTAGATCAGCGGTGCTTTCTGAACCTTTTATTTTTCTTTTGAGGCAATCAGGGTTAAGTGACTTGCCCGTGGTCACACAGCTAGTAAGTGTTGGAGGCTGGACTTTAACCTTTTTTTTATGCCATGGGTCTCTTTCAGTCTAGTCAACTCTATGAACTCCTCAAAATAATGTTTTTAAATGCACAAAATAAAATACACAGACTTACAAAGGAAAACAATATACTGAAATAGTTATCAGAATATATTTTAAACAAGTAAACTAGTCACCAAACTAAGAATCCCCAGATTAGATGATCTCAGAAGTTCTTCCAGTTCTAAATACAGGATCCTATGACCAAACCTCTATTCAGATGCCATTTATTCAGAGAACAACACACAACATGTGAAACAGATGTTTACACCAATTGACATAATCACAATCAGAATAAGAAGAGATGGACAGACATGGACTTGAATGAGATAAAGGAGATGGGGTTAGCCAGAGATTCTACATGCATGAGAAATCCCCAACACACACACACACACACACACACACACACACACACACACACACACACACACAAACCAGTGCTCCGGCACTGAATTAATGAAGTATTTATTAATTTCTTACTATGTCCAAAGCACTGGAAGAACAAACAGAAAACACAGTCCTGCTCTCCAGGAGCTTACATTAGGTTTCAGCTGGAAGTCAGATGGAACAGTCCCATGATCTTGAGGGTACCAAAGCAAAGCAGATGTTAATACCTCTTCTTTAATGTCATTTCCACTGATAAAATAATGTCGAATCATAGAGAATGTAAAAAAAAAAGATACTAATACAAAAAAGCAAATACTTTGGTTTAGAGTCTCATACATAGCCCTTTTTGTTGCATTTGTGCATAAATTGGATTTAAGTGAGGCAGGACTGCATGAAATTATCAAGCTCACTCTTTCTTGCAGAGTAATCAAAGTCCAGTGGCAGGACAAAAGGCAAGAGGCCTGGGATGGAGTAGGGGCAGTTAGATGGCACAGTAGATAGAGCACCAGCCCTGGAGTCAGGAGGACCTGAGTTCAAATCCAACCTCAGACATAGAACACTTACTAGCTGTGTGACTCTGGGCAAGTCACTTAACCTCAATTGCCTCCCCTCCCCCCCCAAAAAAGGCAAGAAGCCCAGGATGAAATGTATGACTGCAGCTTCTTCAATGCCTGACCAAGCTCTAAGCACTCTATGCCTGCTTCAGCTGCCTTCATGGCCATTGAAACAAATTGTTCTCATCTGTCCATTCTTCACACACTTGGAGTGACAACCCCCTAAGTCACCCACAAGTTTGAGGCCTGTGGGTTAGCCCATCTGCCATGATGGTTTTGTCAGGGTGTGGCTGCTGCATGTGATACAGCTTCTTGGAGCCGCAGGTGAGAGTTGGGTGACAGGTGGACACCAAAGGCGGATAAGCAGCCTTGAAAGGGGCTCAGCAGCCCTCACACCAGAGACGCTGGTCCTCTTGAGCACCCCAGTAAATAAATAGCCAAACAGTCTGTAGATGTTGAACCATTTGGCAGTACAGTAGATAAAGAACTAGGCCTGGAGTTAGGAAGGCCTGAGTTTACAGATCTGACCTCAGACACCTTCTAGCTGCATGACCAAGTCACTTAACCTCTGCCTCAGTTTCTTCAATTGCAAAATGGGGATAATAACAGCACCTACCTCGAGGGTTGTTGTGAGGATCAAATGAGATAATATTTGTAAAGCGCTTCATGAATAAGTGTGAATATGGCACATACTAGGTGCTATATAAGTGCTTATTCCCTTCCCCACCAAGGACTTTGATGACAAGAACTTTTCTGGGTCTTCAGCAGCTGTGGCTGTACAGCACCTGCAGGAGCAGTTACCAGGCTGCATTTCCACATGGGTGGCTTCCCAGGATGATGGCTGAGGGCACTGGGCTGGAAACATTGCTAGTCACAAGGCTCTTGGATTCAGGGTCTGGGCTGTCCCCATCGGGGTCTGAGGAGAGATGCTGATCAAGGTGGAGGGGGCGCTGATTTGACTTACCTGGCACATGCTGCCTCCTCTCTGTCCCTCAGGGCGCCTTACTGCTTTAGCTAGTTTGACTTGACTGCCGTGTGTGTGTGTGTGTGTGTGTGTGTGTGTGTGTGTGTGTGTGTGTGTGTGTGTGTGTAGCAGTTGGTGGGGGTATCTCAACTCATCTCCACAGGAGAATTGCTTATCCAGATAATGGCTCTGAGAGCTGGGCTGGAAGCAGGATTGGTGCTCTGGGGTAGCCTTCTCTCAGGGCTCCAGTGCTTAGCTGCCTTTTAGTGGAAGACCCTCAAAAGTTTTTGCTGGTGATGAAGGGAAGATGGGCCACCTCTCCACAATGATTTCACCAATCAGTGGTGGCTGTGGGAGCTGAGATAGAAGCAGGTCTCATGGTTTAAAAGGTAATGCTAACCTAAGACTCTTGGATCCAAGATCTTGGACTGTCTCCATCAGGGCCTGAGAGGAGATGATGGTCAAAATGGTAGTGATGGTTTGAGGCCTAGAAGCTCAAACATGAGGCTTCTGAAACCCAACACAGTGACTTTTCTCTAGTCTCCACTACCTTGAAAGGCCAGAATCAGGCCTGGGAAAATGATTATGAGTTGGCATATTCTAGGTACCCTGTTCACCGCCCCTATAGTGCTCAGCACAGAGCCAACATAGGCCCTATTGGCTTGCCTCTTCTTCAAAAGACATTGCAATACTGTCCATCAGAGGGCAGTAGCCACCCATAGTACAGCACTGTAGACACCCAGAGACTGACACATCACAAGTGCTTGTTCCTGTATTTCCGAGTCAGGCAGGGGACAGCCAAGCTCTCCATCTCAATGCTCCAAGTTGCTTGCTTAGCCTCACCCCCTTCCCCCACTGCTTCAGCTCTGGTTGGACAGGAGGCTGACTCGGGGATATTCACTCATAAATCTCCTCAGGACACATGCGGGGTATTTTTATTAAATAGCAGCAGCAGCGATACCCCCGCCCCACACCAATTCTCACCAGGCGGCCAGGGGAAATACATGGTGAGCTACCTTCCCATCCATCACCGTCTAGGAGTAAAAGGGACTGGTAGAGGCTTGTCCCAACCATCATCTTCCAAAGTCATAATCCTCCATCTATTCCCCTTTGGAAACCCAGGCTGGTTTGACCCACATTCTAAGTCCCAGACAGTTTGGGGCAAAAGAGTCCAGCTTGGGACACAAATCAGACACTCCTCTGGAAAAGCTACTCTGGGCAGGAAGCCCAAGAGTGAGATAAGAGAGGCAAAACAAAGTGCCTCTGACTCTTTATTGGGGTCAATGAAGTTAGGAGAGTTCTTGCTGAGGGGACACAAAAAAGAAAAAAAAATGGTGGGCAGCTAGGTGGCACAGTGATATAGAGCACTGGCCCTGAAGTCAGGAGGACCTGAGTTCAAATTCAACCTCAGACCAAACACTTGACAGTTATAGCTGTGTCACTTAACCCAATTGCCTAAAAAAAAAAAAAGGTGGAAAGATTTGAGGTTCATAGCTCCCCGAAGAGATCTCAAAGGTCTTTTATTCCAGCCTTTTATTTTTTTTTCAGATGAGTAAACTGAGGTCCAGAAAAGCCAACTAACTTGTCTAAATCAGTGTCATACTGTTTGGTGCCCCCAAACTAGATTGACCCCTCTCTCCTCTATCACTGTCCCCATCCGTCATCTTTTACCAGGGGTTCTTAACCTTTTTTGCATCATGGACCCCTTCTCAGAATGTTTTAAAATACACAAAACAAAATAATGAATTATATTGAAATTGTTATCAAAATGTATTTTTTAAATGCAAGTTAAGAACTCCTGTCTCTTTG